CTTTGCTTCCGTAGGTCTCTTCACAGTTTTAGATTTTCTTTTTGCAACTCTGAGTCATGCTGGCTGTCACTTGTTTCTTACACCAACGAATTAACTGCGCATTTGTTTATGAACGCATTCGAACGCAACAGGAGAATTGCATACCTAACTTATTATAATTGTATCAAAAATATTTTGTATTATAATATGAATTTTTTACTTTATTTTGGCCTAAAAGCCAATTACAAATTTTTATGTTGAGCACCCTATAGATTATTAATATGCATAAGTACTTTCACTCTATCGAAGTTTTATTAATTAGATAATCTAGGTGTTTGTTATTATAAATTAATTTAATTTACTTCAAATTAAAATTCAGAAATCATAAGTTTTATCAGAAGCCTTACTAAAGGCGTCGACTCTCGCGTCAGCAAGCCATCCCATTGGGCCTTACTATCGTCTTTGTTTGAAACGATGACCATGTCCATAAATGGGCATAGAGTAAGTAGAGCTAGGCGCGTTCTGCAGCGCTCGAAAATCAGGCCATTTTTAACCTTTATATATGTATATGTATATAGCTAATTATATATTGATGATATTGAAGACAGTTGTAATTGAATATGTATTCATAACTATTCATACATGCAAATATGTATGTATGTATGTACACATGTACATAAATATGTATATGTATGTATACATATGTTTGTCAAATCATGACCTAGATTCAATTTTGATGCCAAAACATGCGCCGACCTATGTCGGCCTATGTATTCATCAATTGTGTACATCAATATTTGCACATTATTTAAATTGTTTCAAAATGCATGTACATTTTTATGTAAAAGTTAATTGTTTAATGCCCGATTCGGAGACGTTGACATTGATTTCTTAGGCCAATTGTTGTGAAATTCGATTAGCATGATGCGCAAAATTTTAAAGAGACGAGCGAGAGAATCCAGTTTGTAGGAGTATGTGTGCCGCTCTCACGGGCGACGCATCGATCAAACACAGTCATGCTGTCTCTTTCGCTCTTGCTCGCTCTAAATATGCACCAGCTGATTTTTGCCGGCCGGTTGTCGGACTCTCACATACACATACATAAATACGAAGGTGTTTATACATATGTATGTATGTGCTCGCAGTATGCACATCGCGTATACGCTCAATAGTACCACAACAACAACATTTTGGATAAAATATTTATTTTTTATATATATTTTTTCTGCATTTATTGGTAACATAAGTAACATAAAAATATTTGTCTCTTGGGCAATCGGGTCGATAGACTTAATAATGAATAATTGCAAGGCTAATAAATAGATAAATATCCATGTACGATGACACTCTTTGTTCAGAATCCCAGTTAAAGTTATTAACGAATATTTCTCTGCTCTGGTGAAATTCCAACTGCAATTGTATTGGTGCATCGAAAAACCCAAAACTTCTGTTATTTATACATAGGAATACATTGGTAATATGTCTGCCATAGGCCAATATCTAATACATTGAAATCATATGTAATTGTCCAATAAGAAGCTCCTGTAAAGCACGCATCAGGCAGAGCGAGACAACAGTATACGCATAACACTTGTTGCTGTTGCGCATGCACGTATGTGTGTATGTGTGTATGCATGTGCTCGTTTACGCTCCGATCGCTGTCGATAAAAAGTTTGTCTTTGCAACTCTCAGTCAGTTATTGTTAGACCTTTCGCACGTGAAGAACGTTAAGCGGATAGCGCGCAGGGCTCATTCAAAATACGTTAAAAAGGTGAATATTTATGAAAATAATATAACTATATAATTATTTAAATTAATTTCTTGAAAATATAAATGGTTTTAAATGAAAATTGGTTTATTTTTCTGCCCTTTAGCAGGTCTATCTGTAAAAAGTGTTGAATTTTTGTTTTGTGCATTTGAACTCACATAACTTAAATTGACAAATATTTTATGCCCCTGAATAAAAAACAATAATATTAAATTTAAATATTTAAATAAATCGGCCATCAATATTATTATTATATCTATTAGGCCAAATTACCGCTAAAGGGTTTACTTTAGTGTAATGTGTAATATGTTGCAAACACAATCAAATTCCATCCCCTTAACAGTTCGTCATCAACAGTTTGAAAGCGTGCATGAACGATCATGTTTGCGGTCAGTCCCGCTCGCTTGTTCTCTCTTTCTTTGCGCGCCTTCCTCTGTCGACTGCAAAGCAGACTAGAAACTTATTGGAAACTAAGAATATTTTCGTTTTTAATTCACTTAATTCATTTACTTAATTTTTTATATATTATTTTATATCATATATTATTTCCGTCTGTCATTATTATTTTTTTATTTATTAGTATTTACATTCTGTATTAATTTCTTTTGTGTCTTTTTTTTCGGTTTCGTTTTGTGAATTTCACAACAAACTGTGTGAGCGAGATAGCGATTAAGTAGATGTACAGTAGCTCGCTGTCTCTTTCTAAATTAGCTGACTGCTTAAGAGTATGCAACATTTTTTAATTCGACGCATTGGAATTATTCAAAATATGTTGTGTGACATTCAGTTCATTCTGCTAAGCTAAGTTAGTTCTTTTTACTTTTGAATATTTGGTTGGGAACTTATTATCGCCATCAACATTAAATATCAATAAGAAATTAGAAGAATTACGTGAAATATTTTTGTGTTGTTTCTAGATCCAAGTACTCGATGGGAATGACATTTTACATTCTTATTAGAGTATTGCGTACTTAAGTGAATATGAAACAATAAGTTTTCAAAAGTGGTCATTGCAAGGGCAACTGAAAAAGCTATAATTTATAACGAATTAAAAATTTGGCTACACGCACAAAATCTAAAATGCATGTGAATTTTATTTTTTGGTATTAATAATCTTTTGTATCTTCCATAGAATTCCTGCAAAATATAGAAGCTACGTCGACGACGAGCAGCAACGGTAAAAGCGAGGAGTTTGAGAAAGAGATTTGTAGTGAGACGGATATATTTGACTTTGACTTTGATATAAACCTGATTGCCGAGGATCACATTGAGCGCAAGGAAATGGATCAGTGCAATCTGGAATTGGATAGCAATTACAGCGACAACTTTAACAGCGATTTAACAGTAATGGATGAATTTCAAGTTCAACAATTGGATAATGCGGAGGAGGCGGAAGACATGGCCTCCATTTGCAATGGCATCGATTTCGGAAGTGATCCACATTCAGATTTGGATCTAGACAACATACTAAACAGCGATCCTATGCTGTCAACTTTCTCACAAGGTTCCATCCTGTGGTCATCTAGCCAAACTAAGTACTTTAACGAGCTGCCCATACCAGCTGACGAGAACAGCATGGAAAACTATTGCTTCAGCCAGCAGTCGTTGGGCTTCGGTGTTGGCCCACTTGGTGGCTTTAACGAAGATGTTTGCACAGCTACGGCTGTGCAGGAAGCCCCATCCACTCAGCGTTTGGGCGCGAAGCGCACAGCCTCTGCAGCGTCTCTCGTCCCTACAGTTGAGACCCTGCCACAGAAGCGTACAAAGCTCATTCTTGACATCAACAAATCACAGATCAGCCATCCAGATGTCATAAACACCCCTGACATTATTGATCAGGTACTCAAGCTTTGTGAAGTGAGTTACTCTAGAGTTTCATTAAATACAAAAGCAACTAATTGACTACTTTTGTCGCTTTTAGGTCAATCCACCAAGTAACGTGTCCAACCATGATCAAATTTATGAGGAGCTCCGCAGCGCAGAGGATAGTACATCATCCCAACTACCAGATTTCTCAGCGCCGGGCACGCCCAATAGCACATACTCAATTAGCACCTCTACCTCATACGCACCATCTTGCCAGACGGGATTCGCTGGCTTGATCACAGCACCTGTATCGCCCGCTGCATCCATTGCCAGTACATCAGCGTTCAGCGCCACAACATCGACCAATGGCAACACCAAGCGCAAGCGAGGACGTCCTGCCAAAGAGCACGCTGATGGACCCGATCCGGAGCTGATGTCCAGAATGACCGAGAATGAGGCGAAGGTGTACCGAGATCGTCTTAAGAACAACGAGGCCAGCCGCGTGTCGCGCCAGAAGACCAGGCAGCGTGAGGAGGAGGAAAAACGTGAAGAAGAAGGCCTGCAAGATACCAACAACAAACTCAAATGCGAGCTGCATCAACTTCAGGGCCAAGTAGAGCGTTTAGAAAATCACCTTAAAAGCATCTTCATGAAAAATAGCACCTATGTCAAGCCCGAACCGGTGTGTTAAGATTCTCATTGCCATGCCATAGTCAAACTGTCGTACCTCTCGATTGTCGCATATTGTGATGTAAAGGTCTAGTTGTAACACGATAATTTCAAATAATCCATTAAGTTAAGGTTGTCGCTGAAGAAGTCGCTGTAGAATATGGAATCCACTTGAGGAACCACAACAAAAAAACAAATGATCAGAACTTTTATTATGTCGTTAGCACCTAAGAACTTGTATATGCTTAATTGCAAGGCGCCATATAAAGTGCGCATGATTTTAAAAATTTTTTAATTAATGCACTATTATGTTTGAAACTATGAAATTTTATCCACACGTTTTATATACTTATGTTTTATGTACTAATTATAATCAACAACAAGAAACCTTATTTGCAAGCTCAATGAAGCAAAAAAAAAAAAAAAGACAAAAAAATTGAGTAGCGGTTAATCACACTTACATTGATTATATTTCCTTTAGTCGTGAAAACAAAAAATGTTACAAAAATATGTATACAAAAATGTGTAAAATGTTATTAATGAAAATACAATATTTACCCATATATATTTTAGATTTATATACAAATATAATATAAAGTGCATGTGCTGAAGGCCGTGCCAAAATCAAATTTTGTTTTATTTATATTTCTTACATAATTACGTCTTTAGAGTGCATTATAAAAACGTGCCCATTCTAAATCGTTGGAAATGGAGAACTTGGGAGTTTTCATTAGATTTCTTCAAATTTTTATTTGCAAACTTAAGCTTTACAATTTTCATTTCATTAGCCTCATAAAATATATTCAATACAGATTTTAGGCAGATTTACACTTACAATTGTTGGCCGAATCTTTCATTTGTCTATTGCACATTAAATTTTAAATGTTAAAATCATATACAGTATAACTATAACCAGAACCGTGTAGAAACCACTAACTAATGAGCAATTAGCGCGCGATGCACTCTCAGAGGCCGTGGAGCACACGTGAACAATAAATCGGTGGCATTCCTCAATGAGATTCAGCCAATTTGACGGGGGCTGGGATGGTGGTCGAGCGATTACGTTCGGTCAGTTGCGTGTTCGCGATAAATTGCAACCGTTGGTGTCATCATTGTTGTTCAAATATTTAGAGAGTGACATCGGGCGCTCGCTGGGACAGGTGCTTACCTAACACCCTACGCAGATGATTCGTTGGAGTACGTGTATTTGAGATAGCGTATGCCTTGGAAGGCCTGCGCCGAAGCATTCGTTGCATGACAAGCGAAGAGCAGCCAATTACGAGGCTGCACTTTGTAGGCGAAACGCATGAAAATACACGAGTACAGGGTCAGGGCTGTTAGGAAGAAATAAAAAGAAGCAAAATTAAATTTGAATACGACCGATTTGCCGCCAGACATATCAGCCGCAGCTCGGCGGCTGGCGCATGGCCAAGTGTCTGTATCTGGCTTATCAGTGTCGAGCAATTCGATTAGCGGAATCAGAAACGTGTATCATAAATAAATGTGTCTACCGAAGAGCTCCGATTGCGATTGTATGGAATCTTTTGCAGCTGACAGATGATAACGTTTAATAACACAATCTAATTAACTCTTACCAAAGGTCATTCTGCCAGAGATGAATTTTGGATGTTTAGATGTGTCCGCAATGGCAGCTATCGGGATGCCCCAATTGGCAACCGGTCCCCAAAAGTGGGTGCTCAGAAAGTAATTGCGCCATTCGGCGGCGCTTGAGCTTGAGCCTGAGCTTGACATTGCCCGTCTAATCGACATCTTGCTGCTGTTGAATATTCCACTTGAGCTCCTAGAAAGGCAATTTAGATTAGCGCTCTCCTTGAACACATATGCGTCGCTCTAGATTTGTAATTTTTCAAGGTCTTACAGGTTGTTGTTTGTTTACTGCGTACGTGTTTGTTGGTAGTCGCCAATTTTATTTATTAGCAATAAATAATTTTGGAATGCAACCAAAAAATTTTTGTATTGGGAAAAGTTATGTAAAATTTAAATTTTGTGAGAGTAGAATACAAAGCCTACGCGAATCCAACAGTTTCACAGCACTAATATAAACTAATGGCAAATAGCACTGTTAAGAGACTCACACAATCCTAAGTAAATAGCGCATTCAACATTGCTGTCATTTTTGGGCAATTTTTTTTTAGAAGTCTGGCAGCTCAATAGTGGCAACGCTGAATTTATTTCACAGCATCTTAAATCAGTACAGAAAATTATTGTATGTTAAATGAAGTTCAATTGAATGTTATTTGGATGAATGAACATGCAATTCTTAGGTTTATTCCATGGAATACGTATTTATTGACTGCGCATCAACTCTTAAACATAGCATTAGGGTGACCAGCACATTTAATATTCACCATAAAAACACAACGGCGCCATGTTTTGAATTAAATGTAATATTATAACAATAAATATTGATCACATATATAATGCTTAACGTTAATAGAATATATGTATTAGATAAAATTGAGACGAAAATTCAAAGAAATGCGTGGCTATTCTGCATCATTAATTTGATTTACAAAATAAATAAATCAGAACAAAATTTTCAACAGTTGTAATAGATGGCTGACCTGCTATTTATTTGCAATTCATATACTTTTGTGAAAACTTCCGACTATAAAGGAAACTGTACAATTGTTGAGTCATACAGACGTTGTTGTCAAATGTTTGCATACCAGTCAATATCTAAAAGCATTTTCTGGTAAAGATTGCACTTCATTTGGCTTATCAATGCACCAAGGTAACTATAAAAGGTGTTAGTCGAGCACTGGCCGAGCATCATTTGCAGTAAAATGAAACTTCAGTTTACTATCTGTTTGGTTCTATTGGCTGCATGCAATTTGGCTAACGCCTACAGTAGCGATGGGCAGCCGGGTTGCAAGACGCAGGAGGAGTTGGACATTGCGATCTTCCGTGATAACTGGGATCCTACGTCCTACTGGAAGTGCGAGGCACTCAACGAACCCGCCACTAAAATGCGTTGTCCGGATGAGATGGGCTATCTCGATAGCCTGAAGGACTGCGTCAACTGGGACGACTGGAGATGGGAGAAACCAGCTGCTCCCCTCAGCGAGGTCGACGAGTGATTGAAAGACGTTAACATTAAAATGCTAAACGTGACATTTAATTATTGTCAGAGAATTGAATATAAATACTGCTCTAAGCGGCATATAAACGCAACAAATGTAGTATTCAAGAAAATTTCAAGTCTGATTTGGTGACGCTTCAGTCGCGCGTTCGCAGGCCCCAAATGGAGGTGCGACGCGTGCCCACAGTTGGGCGTCCCACCGAGCTATGTATAAACTTGTTGATTCCAATTTTGGGCATTTGCTTCTCCAGCACCTCCATGGCGGCATCCGAAAGCATGCCGAAAATGTCCAGATAAGTAAGTGACGTCATGTTCTTTAGTTCTCTAAATTTGAGAGATACAGAGAAAACGTTTAGAATGAATCCTAATCCTTCGTGGGGAGCTTGGATTAGCTTACATAAAACTAGCAGCGGGTATGAGATAGCACCGCGAAACGGACAAGTATTCCAGACTGTTGAATTTCATGATTGAAGTGAGGGCCGCAGGCGTCAGACTATTGCAGTCTGAAAGATCGAGTTCAAGCAATTGGAGACAGCGCTTTTGCAGTGTATCCACATCTGAAAGCCGAAAAAGATGTCAGATCGATGTGAGCCTAATCAATATTTGTGGGATACTAACGTATATCGAAGAGCACACGCCTGCAGCCGGCCACGTTCAATCTGATCACATTGGACGGTATGTGAGTGACCAGAGCGGTTACAGCATCAGCGCTCAAATCAGTCCACGATATGTTTAGGCTGTTCAGTTTGGTTAGCGACTCCATCATTTGTCCAACACTGTTGGCGGTTAGGCCACTGGCCATCGACAGATTGAGTGTTTCCAGCGAGCTGTTCTGTGCAATCTCAAGACAGATTTCATCATTCAACTCGGCGTGCTCCAGGCTAAGTTTCTTCAGTTGTCGACAATGCGCCAGTAATGTGCGCAACGAGCTGAGTGAAATGGAAGCAAGACTTAAGTCCAGATATTGAAGACGCGACTGGAAATCTATGAAGGATGGGTCGTTCGTAAACGCCGGATCTTGAATCTGGTGAAAAGATTGTTGAGAATTAATAAAAAAGATATTGTGATTTGTTCAATATATACTTCTGCTTGAGCTAGACGAAGTATTGGCACACCGCGCTTCACCACCTGCTCCAGGGCAGTGGGACGGAGCGTCCGGAGTCCTAAATCCAGACGCGTCCACAGAGTCTCGTCACGTGCACAACGATTGAATCGACGGCAAACGGTAGCTATTCGCAGCAGCGCCTTCTTTGGCAACCACTTGAAAATGTCCAGCAAAATCTCGTCGGACAATTTGTCAAAGTAGTTGATGCCGCTGCTAATATGGGCGCTCATTACAGGCGTTCGGTAGACAAAGAAGTTTTCTGTGGCCGCCAATCGGCTAGTCAGCGTTTGCGGCGGCGGTGGTGCTCCTTGCGAGGCTGTTGGTGCTTGCGTTGGTTTCTTTTGCCTCAGCGCCTGCTTACTGGTTGAGGGCATAAGGCTGAGGGGCGTCTGTTGTTGTTGCGGCGGCGGCGGCGGTTGCTGTGCATGCAAGGGCTCAATTTGATTATTGCATGTGACTGTGGCAAGGGGATTTCTAGTACGTTTGCTGGGTGAATTGGAATTGCTGCTGCACTCGCTGTTGGCCAGCGCCGATCGCTTCGCCTGGGCCAGAGCGTGCAGCTTCTCAGCCGACTGTTGCAGCGTACGTTCCTGAGTATCTTCACTGAACACCTCAATAATAGTGTTGTCGAGCGTAGATGCTGTCGAGTTGAGACTCAAACGCGCCTGCTGGTGTGCCATTCGCGCCACATTGGTGCAGGGCGTAGTCTCATTTGAGTTCTCATCGCTGGTTGTGCTCACTGCGAGTGCAATTGCTGACAGAGCAGATGAGCTGCTCTCCTCAGAGTCCAACATCCCGATGCCCATTTCTTCCAGTGCCTCAAAGGTCAGCACTGACGGGGAGGAGGTGTGCTCGTAAGCCGACGTCGTTTTGGTTGGGGGCACAGCGGCTGCAGCGCCGATTGAGCGTTTTCTGCAACAAGTTTGAAATACGGTTTAAGGGGCATTTAATGAAAAGTGATCGGCGTGCAAGTACGGGACAGTTGCTTGGTCAGCACGGGTCAAGCACCTTTCAATTATGTGTTGGCCCCGTTTCGGTGCTGCTCTTGCTTTTTATTTAGCAATACATTCATGTGACGTCACTGGAATAGTTCGCGCCATTTGATAGACCGCCTTTGCATGCACCCTTGATTTATGGGCTATCGTGTATATAGATTATTATGGATATATTTACCTGGCTACGGGACACAGATTTTCAATGTTTTCGGCTCCTTTGTGCTTGCGGCCACTCATATTTTCTAAAGATTTTCTCTTTTTGTCACGCACAAATTACGCGCAATTTTTGTATGCAGCGTTGCCACATCTTCCATTCAATACATTTTGTTGTAGTGCTGCCAGACAGTGCGCGAATGAAATGTTTTCCAATACCGCACACATTATCCAACACTAAGAAATCATAGGGAAAACACAACAACAGAGTTCACTAAACGGCTGGAAAAATCATAAATTAACTCAACAAAGAGTCAAACACTAATTTAATAACAAATCGCAATTATACGCATAAATTGCACAAGATATGAGAAGAGAATTTCGAGGCTAATGATACAAAGGTATATTGAGGAATACGGAGGTGATAATTACAACGACGACACTCGCGTTCCTTCCCGCAAAGCCACTTTCGCAAGGTGAGTGAATTTCACAGCAGGCTCTGCTTTTGTTGCTGTTTTGTGCTGCGTTTTCTTTGTTGTCGCCAGAGAAATTATAGTTAGAATGGAAACGTTTACGCACAAGCTGCAAAGTATTTTCAATTACCAAAGCAAAAACAATAAATATTTGTATGATAACTTTCCATTTTATACACATTCGTAGATCTGTAAAGATGAGTCTACGCACGCGCGCCCTTGTGTTCTCTACATTCTTTGGCAGTTGCCTGGCCATCGGATTGCTGTTGACCAGTATGACGACTAATCACTGGGTGCGCGCCTATCCGCGGCGCACCAATACTACAGAAGCTAAGGGTGACGTCAATTTTGGTTTGTTCTATGGTAACCAAAACTTGAATCCTGGCTTTGGAGTACGTAACAACCAGGTTGATGGTGAGGCTTTTGTTAATTTCAATGGAAGCGTAACTATGAACTAATATTAATCTTCCACAGTTTACTCCTTCATTCGCACCGAGCATGGTGACACTAGCTTCTGGCTCTGGTTGCTTACAACACTTGGCACGGGCTTTGGACTGTTGGCATGCACCATAGCAGCCATAGCCGCTGTGCTGAAGTCAGCGTCAGCAGCCAAGAAAGGCGGCACCATGCTGCTCCTGTTGGCCTCAAACATGGCAGCGGCAGGTGCACAGGTGGTTGCATTCTTGGCATGGCTGGTGCAGTTCTATCAGTATCTCATTCACAATGTTCTCTTAACGGAGCACCAGCAACAGCATTGGTACAGCACCGGCCTGGCCCATCTGGGCTACAGTTTCTATCTGGTTGTTATTTCGACAATTGTGGTCTTCATAAATATAACGATTCTGCTCTATGCAAGACGACGCGAACATCGTGATCGCCATCGTTCGGAGCCGCTGGGCAAAGACAAGAATCAGGCGGCCATAATGCTCTACTAGGCAGAATGCTGCAGCAAGTATAATCCAAATATAACCTCAAATGGAAATGTTCGATCAAGCGATGCAGAAACGCGCACCACGTAATCTCAGCGGCTCAATTGTTTGTGCCTTACTTAAAGATGCCCCTTGCATGCCACAATATATATATTTCATTTACACATATCAAGATATATGTATATATATTTATAAATACATATATGTATTTATCGTAGTCTATAAGCCAACATTCAAATGTATTTAAGCTAAGTCTGATTAGCACTTTGATTGCACAACAAATGTTGAAGCTATATAACTTAAACATATACTTTTACACATATTTATATCTACATACATATGTATACATACAGATACTTGAAATTTTATACTCGATGCATTTTATACTCGAATGTACTTGATATACTCGTACTCGTCTTATATAAATTTTTTCGTTTACGAATAACAGTTGATTCCGTTTTATCAGTATACAAATAAAACAACAGTCATTGTTAAGATATATCTCATTTAAGTGTTTTGTTTTACACATTGTATATTTGTACGAAGACCCCACGGGACGAAGGCAGCAACTGCAGTAGCACACGCTACGCCGCGGGACAACTTCCGTGGTGGCAAAACAGCAAATGATAATAAAAAGATCTTGGAGAAAATGGAACTTAAAAAGAAAATCAGTCCGTGTGGCATTGGCTTGATGAATTGCTCAACACTTTTGACTTTTACCAACTGTCACAACAATTTCCTCAATGTAATTAAACTGTTCCAGCTAATTGCTGAACAGGACCACACCACAGGCATCAAAATCCAAGTGTCATCGCATTGCATTTCGCAAACAAATCAATTATCTTTTTTTCTATTTTCTATTTTCATTTTTTTTTTTTAACTTGTGCAAACTGTTTTGTCGCATTTCTGAGGACCCCTGACTGATGGCTGATGGCTGTTTCCTTGCAAGGACAATTTGTGTGTGGCTTTGTCTTGTGCTGCGAGAAACACTTCCTATTTCTATTCGATTTCATGCCCATGACAACACAGCACAGGATCGGGCTGCTTCCTTTGGCCCAATCGAGCCAATTATGTCATCATTAGTTTTGATTAGTTTGTTGGCTCACTGCGATGGGAAAACAGCGCAGACAATGCCGTTTGTTTTGAACTTTGTGGCACTTCCGGCACCACCTACTGTTTACCTTTTTGGCCTGTTGTCCAGCTGGGCGCTGTATGCTGTTGTTTTGGTCGATTTTCGGTTTGAATTGACTGCAATTGCATAATAATGATGAACGTGTTTCTAATTAAGGGTGCATCGGGGCTAGGCATTGGGCCCACAGTACCCCTGCAAGCCGGCATGCTGATATCAACTGCTGACTTGCATATCTGTCTCTGCTATTTGCTCGGGCCAACTATCTCTTAGTGAGTGACTGACTGTGGTTTATCTGGGCAAACAGATTAGGGCTCACCTTGTGCCATGTGCGTGGAATAACCATATAAGTATTTCGGTCCTATGTACTACATACATACATACATATGTACATGTGTGAATGCATATGCATATGTACATATATGCATGCAGCTATCTCTATTCATGCATTGCGCAGAGTTGTGCAAGTCCCGGCGTTAGGATTAGGTTCCAAATTGCATACATTTGCAGTGTAAGATAATGAGGAGATATGGTCATTAGCTGCGGTGAGTCCTCAACACGAGATTAGACAGCAGACAATCGACTTATTAAGAGTGTTTATGCAGATAAACGCATCGTTTAGCGCTTGTCGGGACATACCCACTTTTCCGCCTAGGATTAGCCTAAACACTTGGAAAATACGATTGGAAATCGCCAATGACAGCCGTTGATAAGTAGCTGGAAATGTTGGGCAATGTGTGGATGGCTCTGGAAGCGTGGCCTGTACAAATATAATTAGCGGGAAACTCATATAATCGGAACGAACACAAAATAGAATAGAATAGAATTACCAACCAGCCAGCCACAGCCACAGCCACACACGTTGACCTCCGTGGCATGTTCCAGGCAACTGCGTTGATTGTAGCACTTTACTCGTGTATTCGATACAAATCCATTTCTTTACACGAATTTGTCTTTGCTTTATTTTTATTCCACTTTTTATGGGTTAGTCTGTCGTCCCCTATTTGGATTTGTGAAAGTATTTCCAGCAACCGCAAAACATGCGAGCCAAAGAAAGCCAACAAGAGGGCCAGACAGGCTGTCTCCTATTCCTATGCGCCGTGGTCGATATCGTCCTCGTTGCTGCTTCTGCTGCTGCCCAATAAATTTTCCAATTAAATGGATCCTCTGACACTTTGTATAAAACGTCAGCGCACAGGCACAACGGCTACTACTACTGTCAGTACCCCCTGCCAGCCCCGGGGAGTGTGTGAGTGTGTGTGTCTCTGTGGTTGTGTGCGTGTGCGTGTGCTTATGCATATAGGGGATGAGGGTTGTTCCTTGAGGGGTTGAAACCCATCAACGCACTCTGCTTGGCCAAGAACTGGCGCTGTGAAAGGTAGCAATCGCATCTATACGCTGTTATACCCATCGGGCCGGCGACTCCATTTTATTTTTTTATGCACTGCTCTCTCTCATCTTTTTTTCGCATAGCCCATTCAATTGCTCTGCTATTGTTGCATTGCGAAATTATGGCCCGTATATTTCTCTATTAGGGCACAAAATACATTTCAATTTCTCAGTCTGACGCGCTGTGTGGCCTGGCTAGAAAGTATGCTAGAAGACACAGCGTCTTCAGGTCCACATAGCTGGCAATTCTACGAGCATAGTTGCGGAATTTCTGGACCACCCGATGACTTTTGTTTGGCCTTTTTGTGGTCATGAATGGCATATAGGCTAGTGCCTCCTACATGGCAATTGTCCTTAGGACGTCAGTGGGTTATTGATAGCCAAACTACTTTCTTGTTAGGAAGTGACTCTGTCCGATATTGTTGTGGAACAATACTATCTTGTTTACGTTTATAGTTGAGCAATTATATTTTTTTCCTCGATTTTAATTCCTGGGAAATGCTGGAGGGATTGCAAAGTTCCTTAACGTCTTTATAGACTATATGTGACACACACGATATTTCGTTAAGGTGAAGTACTACAGTTCATTCAATTTGAGAGACCTGCTTGAAAGTTACTCTAACTTCAGGGGAAATTTTTAGATATAATCATTTGAGTTATTAATATAATGAATTGCAACAGAAATTACCGCTTATATGAAAAGTGAATTAAAATTATATACAATATGTTGTCTATTAGAACTTAGAAGAAATAGAAGAACTGGGACACTTACTTATACTTAAACTTATACTTACTTACGTATACATATTTTTCAATTTTATTATTTAACTCTTATTTCTGTTTAAATTATTGTGTGCACGATTTTAGTATATCAGTATGTTGAATGCAATGAAGAAAATATTCTACGAAGTTAAATTTGAGATCTTCCAAGTAAAAACTTGAAGCAAATCAATTTAGTAACCAATTAATATAAATAAGTTCTTTATGATATATATAAACTTATTCATTTCTGGCTAATGTAGCCAAGGTGCCAGCATATTATAATATGGTAATTATTTTAGACTGGTGGATCCTTATAATAGCGGCGCCTTGAAAATCTAAAACTTATATAAATCAATGATGAATTTATGAATATGTATTTTTTCTAACCAGTCCTTCATTTATGCATAAGAAGACGTGTGAAAAATATTGTAATCCTGGGAGGGAGAGAAAGAGAGAGCTCATCTATGATTAGTTATATATATAATCATATATATTTATATAACAATTTGTTCTATTTTCTTATCGATTATACCACTATTGGAAGGACTATTTTGTGTCTCGCTAAAAATTTTAAAATGCTTCAGTTTATATTGGTATTCTTCATGCCGCTCTATGTATCTAACTTTTACTTAGTTTAATGCATATAGCATGATTCATTACTTTTAATGCAGATAACACTAGCTACAGGTCCTATCTACATATACAAATAAATTATATTTCCACTTGTTATACCTATACATTGTATATGTATGTATAAATCTCTCCATATACATCCATATATACATAGATATTTTAGAGTAGCCTATTATTCAATATTTGTGATTGACATCGATAGATGATATGTATTAATGGACTTTATACAAATTTAAAGCATTTTCCCACACTTCAGAGTAAAGAATTCTACCAATGCTCTAATTAATTGGCAGCAATTAAAGGACAATACTTGGCAAACATCGCTGTCAATATCGAAAGACATCAATTCGAAATGCTGACGAAAAGCGTATCATCTTGAGAAATGGGTATTTGAACTAGTTGCCGCTCGTTGGGTTTGGCCAAGTGCTCAAAGTGTGGCCGCTGTGTCTGCTGCAAACAGAATTACAGAAATCAATGGGACATATTATTAGTTAGATCATTGTGCCACTTGTGTTGCAGCAGCACCAACAGCAACAACAACAATAACAACGACGAAGACGTCGCACTGTCTGGCAGAAAATCTTCTCAGGACTGACCAGGAGGCACAGGTAGATAGATGTAGATGCGATGCGGGACCTGCACGCCTCTATCAAGCGACCGTATTGCCATTGTCTGGCTGTCTGTGGAAAAGGTTGAGAGGCAGTGCCCACCGGTCTGCTACGGTTAAGAAAATTGCATCTATTGTGCACACGTAGAAGTCACATTGATATTGTGGACCCGGGGTACATATAAATTCCAAATCGTTGTCAGAGCAGACTTTGTGTCTATCGCACTTACTTGCTCAGGTGGGCCACTCTCCATTGTCCTTATGAATGACGCAAGCTGTCGTGTGAGTAATGGCAAGGATACGTGAACAATTGCAACAGACTCCTCCACAGACTGTGAGAAAACTGTGTGAATCGCTTGTCGTTCGATCTCAAGTCAAGTCAGTTCTAATATATCTACACAGATAGAGCGAACACTACTACAATAGATGGATTGGTTATGGCTGAAAAGTTAGATTTGCTTGTCTAAAGGCTTTCGACTGGGCGTTTGACTTGACCTAAATTAATGGTTATTTTTCTCTAGTTTTCTTTTTGTGATTTTTGTGAATGAATTTTCGCAGATTTTACCCAAATGACTTGGGAATTTCAACCCTTTGATGAGGATGCATCAAATGTGCCGACGAATGCAAACTGCAAATTCGTCTTTGATTTCGCCGGCATGATTCGGATAATTTGCAAAATGATCTGGTTAGTGGGAAGTGACAGTCATTAAGCCATTGCCAAAATGGCCGTGAAATTGTAAATAATTATATGGATAATATATGTGTGTATATGTATGTATGTATTCTCATAGTTATATGGCTTATTGATGAATGAATGAATATTCCATTTACTATTTTCACTCAAGAGAATTTCTCTTCAGTTCTGAATTCTGAGATTATAGATAAAAAGATAAAGTAATTTTTTTTTTTTTTTCAAATGTTTTATGTATTTGTTTTTTCTTTTTCTTTTGTAAACATAAATCGTATAATATAGCTCTGAATATTTAACTAGGCATTTAAATGTAAATCGTATATTGCTATTAACCGCATTCAGCATATAAAAATGTGAAAAATATGCTTATATATGTATATATAAATGTAGATGTCTCTTAAAACTCTTAATCGCTTAGCATAGGAGAAAGGATCACTTAAGGATTTATTTACACAAGTGTGGGTTTTTTACGACGCTTCTACCTCACGTCACGTAGTGGAAATGTAAATATTCATTATAAAATAAATAGCTCAATATTTGCATATATCGTCATGGATATCTATCTGTATCGTCTTTATGATTGTTAGCATAGCATAGATTGGTGCTGAGGTAGTTGGTTTGAGTGCGCCTTGATGCGCCAGGTACGCCTGAGGTAGATGCATAGAGATAGAGTATTGGCCGGCATTGAGTAATTTTTTGTTGTTGTTCTTGTTGCTTGGTTGGTTTGTTGGTAGTTGGTTGTTGCGTTTTTAATGCGTGCAAGCGCTTCACAGATCGCTGAAGCTGTAGCTGTAATAGTAGCTGAGGCTGGGGCTGGGGCTGGAGTGGGGGTCAGCTGCCTAGTAGCCATACAGATATGGATACATGGGCATAAAGATGGCCGGTCCCAGCTGACGCTCTTGCGGCATATGCGTCTTCATGTGCTTCTTGAGGTGGTCACGTCGTCCGAACTTCTTGCCACAGGCGCTGCACGGATACGGACGCAGACCGGAGTGAATGCGCTTGTGCCGGGTCAGCTCCTCGTTGCGTGTGAAGGTCTTGCCGCAGGTTTCTACGTCGCACTTGAATGGTCGTTCGCCTGTAAGCATAGGAAAGAGGGAAAATATAAGTTAGTAAAGCAGGCGGAGGATCTCTCAGTTCAAAGAAAATTACCGGTATGAATGCGGATGTGTCCCTTCAGCTGGCCATTATTTGAGAAGGCCACGTCGCAGTGGGGGCACTTGAATTTCTTTGGGCGCTGCTTGCGGGCATTCAGTGCCTTCAGCTGGGCATCCTCGGCCATGACACGAGCGTACTCCTGCTCCATCAGGCCCAGCGTGAACGGGTCCATGCCAAAGGCAGCTGCGGCTGGGGTATTGGCGGCGGCAGCGGCAGCAGCTGCTGCGGCGGCGTAGTACAAGTCGTTGGCGGGCATGAAAGGCGCTGGCTGCGGCGATAGCTGCTGTGGCGCCACAGCTGAGGTGGCTGGAAATGCTGGCTGGGGCGTGGCATCTAGCAGAGGAGTCGATGTGCGAGTGTAGCTGTTGTTTAGGCCATCCTCATAGCTGGATTTACTGCTGCTGCTGCTGCTCCGGCTGCTGCTGCTCGACGAGGATGAGGAGGACTCGCGGTCGCTATCCTGTCCATAGCAGCAGCTACTGCTGCTGGGCAGCTCCGTTTTGATGGTCACTGTTTCGGGCTCACGTTCACGTTTCACGGCCCTGGCGGGCGCTGCTGGAATCTGGCGTTGCGTATCCCAGGGACGGAACAGGCGCGAGTACGTTTGCGGTGGATGCATGTTAATTGTCGACATAATCGTTGTTTCTTATTCTTATATGAAAATTCACTGTTTCACTTGGGCGGAGGAACACTTGGCGTGCAATTGCGTAGGCGGAGCGGTGTGTGTGCGTTGCAAGATCTCAACTCGAACTGAGCTCTCTCAGTCGAGCGGCACACAATTTAAAGAGATTTTTTTCAATGAGCGTTAAGGTCCTGGCAGTATAGGCCTACCTAGCGGCCTACCTACGCACGCACACGCACACACACACACACATTGAGAGCATCCGTTGCCTGCTTCATTCATTGATTTGCTGCCTATCTGTCTGTGTGAGCGAGAGGCACGCTTCGGGGTTGTTTTTTCGCACCGCACAACAATGGCCGCTCACGCAGACTCAAATACATAGCTACGCACACACACACACACGTACACATACACAGAGAGAAACACATGCTGTATATAATGTACTCACGTACTCTCATGTTCGCTTTGCTTAGTTTTCATGCCAGCAAATCTAATCGGCTCTCGCAATGGCAGCTTCCTTGACTTTCGCTTTTAATGTGTATATTCCCAGCGATGCGCTACTATTTATTAAGGACATACGTACGCACATACATATATATAAATATATATATTTATCTGTATGTATATGCATGAGAAGAAGTATCTGTTTGCCTCTCTCCTTATTTTTTTGTTCTTTTGTAACTCCCAACGGGGTGGAAGTTTAAGCGAAGCATTCATGATTATGAATTTTACGCTTACCTCCCGACAAACCCCCTTATACGCAATTTGATAAAAGTTGTTGTCTTTGAGGCACAAACTGGGCTGGGCTCTGGCCCCCCGGCCCGTCGTGAGTCGAACAAAGCTGAGCCGTAACTTGGTTATCTGTGGGCTCTGGCTGGGTTGATTCGGGCTTGCCCGAAAAATCAAGGGGCTTTCGCTGCTGCTGCTGCTGCTGCTGCCCTTTTGTGGTGGCAATTTATTATTGAATTAAGTGCTTCTTTCTGGGGGTTGGTCCCGTCTTCTGCTTTCCGTTTTGTGGCAACTGTTGTGCTTTAAATATGCAAAATGTGTATCGGGCGCGGTGCGCGTCTATATGTTATATGCTCAGATTTGTAAACGGAGCAAATTGTGGCTTCAATATTCACAGCACATTCCTGGGGGTTTGACTTAAGGTTTGAGCATGTAAAACGGTACAGTTGCTTTAAGTTTATCTCTATGGCTTGGGAGCTGCTCCAGGGGATGACATGGATATATTGTTGGGCACTTTATGGCCACTGGTGGGCGTTTGCTCCCAGCCCCAAGTAGATAAGCACGAAAGTAGATATATTAAGAGATATCGGGTGTTGGTAAGAATAATGTTTTGTAATAGTTTTCAAGAATGGACGAGATAATTGTATGGGCTCATATGTATGTATAAGTATAATATATGAGAAAATGTACAGTTGGGTATTGGAAAAGCGTGGTGAAATAAAAATGAAGATAGAAAAATATTTATTTTCTGAGTAAAATATAAATGATAATCACCCTTGGAGAATGTATGGGAAATTTTGTGTATATATTGAAAATATAATTGTGTTTTCAAAAGGAAAATTTTATCTAAGGTTAAGCAACTTAGTTCAGTATTAACAAAATTTGTAAATAAGTTTTCTAACTATTAGAATGGAATAACCTGAAATTATCTGTAGGTCATTTACTATTAAAATCTTTAAAATTGTTAAGCAGAAAAGTTTTCAGTTTGTCCTTGCATTTTCATAGAGAATCAGTAAAAATTGATGCGATCATTAATCGACAGTCCAGTTGTTTTATCCGCGATTCTTACGAACGTTGGCTTCATCGTTGAAGCCGCGTCTTCACTTGTCCCACATAAGCCTACCGCTGCGTCATTAGAAACAAAAGGGAAATCATTAGGATTAAGTGCAACTGCTTTGTTCCTCTCAACGCTAATGAATGCAACGGGTGCATTTTGGCTGGGCTGCGCTGCGCTGCATTGCATCGGGTTGGGTAGGGTTTTAGGGCTGGCGGCATAGGTGATTTTTAGTACCTGCAATAAAATGTAAATGCGCCATGGAGATTCATTCACGAGTCGCGTTAGCAGAGCCATGCCGGAGATCGGACTCATTCATAAATGCGCTGTGGCAGGAAACTGAAGCGGGTGATCCTGGGTCAGGTAGTTGTAGGTGGGCTGCCGGGCGCGGTGCGGCAGGACCATAAAAAATCCATGAGCTTATTTGTGTAGGCTGGCACTTAGGCAAGCAGCCGCCTTGGATTGGCAACGGGCTTTGGACTTTCCCAGCATGTTTGTCAAATAACGAGCGCGGGATTTTCCACGCATTCGTCGTTCGCATCGGTATCGGCAGCGGCGTCGGCGTCGGCGTCGGCGTCGGCATCGGCGTCATAAAGTAGCACCTACCTAGAACAATGCAATGCTCATAAATGTGCATTGAAGATTTTTATAGTGTAATTAAATATGGCACATTTCCAGCCAGGAGCCGTTTCATTCATGGAATATATCGGCGACGCTCTCTTATCGCTACCTGGCCGTAATTAGAGCAAACAATAAGGATATGGCGTCATATTCAAATTTTGATTAATGAGGAAATTTCAGCAGTTCACGCGAGCAAGCAGCATATGGATATGTGCTAGGCGCCTCATTAGACGGCGTCGTTCTGTTGTGGTCAGGGGAAAACACATCCTAACCAAACTGCAAATGCAACTTATGCTAACGTGCTTATCGTCGCATTCCGTCAAAGACAGATAAGCCAAGCATAGATCTAGCTCTGGCCCCGATGGATCGCGCATTTCGCTTAAGACTTACTTTCGTAATCACAATCCGCTCATAGATCAGACTACATCCGGCTCTGTTGGATTAGGGACCAGTGCGATAGGTATTTGAGCGCCTAGAACAGCTTGAATTGATCGTCTCAAGTAATGGACTAGGTGTGATCTTGATACATAGATTAATCGTAATCGGGTTCAACAAGAGATTAGCGTGTGATTCATGCGAGTGTATTAGCGTATATTAGGGGGTTTGGGTTTCTAGAAGCCAGAGACTATGCTAAATAACTAGCGACTAGAGTAGTTTTTCATATGGAAACTAGATTTACACAGCTTGTCGTTAGCGGTTATATTTAAAAGAGATCCAGTACGTCTTGAATTTATCAATTGATAAATGCATTGGCATAGATACCTAGAAAAATGGTAGTTGATTCAATTAACTTTTTTTTAATATTGGTTAAAAAATTTTGTATCTTTTTAAATAGCAACTAGAAATATATGAATATCTTCCAGAGCTTACCAAAATCTTATGCATATAATTCTGTTTCAAAAACATTAGCATTTAGACTACTTTACATATGCTATAGGGTGTCTGCCTCTCGAGCAATTGGATTAATAACATTGTTTACTCTCATGCACTCAGTAAGAGTCAAGTTCACAGTCCGTGTAACTGGTTTATTAACAGATAAAATGTATTTATGCGTATACATATATACACATGCACACACATACATACATATTTGTTGATAGTCGACTCGCCATCTAACCATATGTAAACAAGTGTATATGTGTATGTATGTACATATATGAGCTTTCGAAATGTTTGAGCAATTTCTAACTGTTGTCCGGCGATAGGCCAAAGCTTAATCAAAAGCTTTCATGCAATAACTCGCGATGCTTGATTGAGCAGCTGTTTTCTGTAAAACACGATCCACAGACTGGAGTAGTTTCGGTTTGCATCGTTGATGAAGAATGATGTATTAGTTATCAGACTGATAGATAGCCTCTTAAACTTGTTGCTGAAATATTTGAGTTGACGTCAGACTTCCTTAGGCAATAATACAATATCACACCTTCACACCTATATACATTCCGTATTGCATCAAATTTTGACACTTTGAGCTTTGACTGTTAGTTAGTTTTTTCCCGTTTATGTTTGAGGAATTTACATTTTTTTATTTCGAGCCTTAAAAGAAGTTTTCGCATGATTTGAACAATATACATTTAGACAAAATTTGTTGAGGTTTCAAGTTTGCCTTTATATTCTATTTTAAGAGAGTATATAATCCTATAATGATTTACAATATATGTATAAGCTATATATTGATTTCAAATTGATAAGATGAGTCTGTGGAGAGCTCTAACCCAAATAGGTAATTGCAGATAGTCCTAGAAGATAATCGGGACTGCCGTCCGATATAACAATATAAATATATAATCTTAAATTATATTGGTTTTAATTGTTATATCGTCATCTAATGAAATCCACAAAAGCTAAAGATATCTTCTAGCCAGGTTATTCCAATTACTGTGATATGGTTTAGTAGCACGCTTATGGATCAATGACTTTTCAAGTAATAATGCAATAAATTATATTCATATGAAAGATGTTGAAAATGATCTAGTATCTGACTGTGCGGGCACTGTAACGTAATGACAATCTGAGTGATAATCAATTCTATAATATGTGTATCATATACATTTGTTATATAAAGCTGTTCCATCAAGTTTGTAGTACCTGATTGCATGAATAATGGCAACAGTTTCGCATATATTCCTTCGTCAGACTTTTTGAAGTACCTACACTTCATTGGGTAAGCAACGAGCTAATCGTAAACCAGTTTTTGATAATGGTAAGATTTTTTTAAAATGAATCATGTTCAATTAAAAATAATAATTTATAAAAAAGAAACCGAATTTTCAGAGATATTTTTAAAATAGGGTATCTAATAGCACAGCATCCTCATCTGAGGCGGCAAATCTATTTGTTTACTCTCGTTAACCACACCTACGCTCAGTGTTGGTTGATTGGCGGTCAAGTTCACAGTCAAAATAACAGTAACAAAGCTGCATGATTAGATGGGTACACACACACATATCTGAGTTTTCCTCATACTCACACATACATGTGCACACATATTTAATTAATTCATCAAGTGCCAACGCAATTTCATCATTTGTATGGCTGTAAGACAAAGCTTTGTTGAGCTAAAGCTCCCACTTGACTCGCCCAACGGAGTGAAACTAAATAAGGTAATTTCAGTGCGCTTCGAGTTGCGTTGTTTAGTTTTAAATTTGATGTTCGCTCGATCAGATGGTGTAGATCGGTAGCTTGTCAAGATGTTAGTAGAGTTATTGGCGCTCGTTGTTGTCCTCCTGCTGGTGGTCTACCGCTGGTCGACGCTGCACTATAATTTCTTCAAGGATCGTGGCATTCCATATGATAAGCCATATCCATTTTTTGGCAGCATGTTCAAAATGTTTTTGCGCAAGAAATCAATGTTTGATCTAATTGTCGATCTGTACCACAAGGGTGATGGCAAGTAAGTACATCGAACATTTTCAAATGATATCAACATGCTAACTGCGTATTACATTATAAAAGTTCAGTGCTTAAAGCTCGATCGATAGATATGTATTTTTATAATGACATAAGTGAGCATCACTTCCAGAACATACATATGTATAGGATTATTAGAGTGCCTGATACACAGCTGTATCAAAAATCTGAACTTATATGCTTTATTAACAGCTTGAGTTCAATTATGATATCAATAATCTATATACAAGACTAGAAAATATATACATATATAATTAATTGTATGTATATTTATTTGATAGCCGATATCCAAAATGCGTATTATTTCCTTATCCATTGTAAATTGCAAAAGCTGCACTTCTGCTGGAATGATGTAATGCATTCTACTCAGAATGTGTACAGTGCTTACCATATGTGTGCACATGGATACATATGAGCTGCCTTTTGACTACAAATTATTTGATTGAATGCAATTAGAATTTACATTTATTTTATAGCTGTGTCGGGTGGGGCACATATGAGGGCAAAAAACTATTGATTATTTATTAATTCATTTATTGATTAATTTAATTTGTAAAACTTACATTCCCCCCCTCGTCGACAAACTCAGTGTTTACTAAAATATTTGTAGACTAATAAAATTTTTAGAATCCATTTGCTGGGTGCTGAAGATAGCTACCAAAATCTTATCTATAGACCCGTAAATATACTCACTATATGTATATACAGACAACAATAACTCTTGACCATATCAAGAATTACTTTTATCGCAATTATGATAGCTGATATACATATACACAAATACAAGTATAGGTAAAAGACATGTTTGATAGCTTTTATCAGTTAATCAAGAACAATTGAAAATTCCTATAGAAGGTAAAATATTTTATGCGTCTTCGTGTTAAATGTGTCACACGCGTTCACAGCTCTGAGTCACTTAGAATAATATATATTCGGCTCCCAGCTATACAGATAAGAGTTTTTGCCTTGCCAATTGTCAGCTCACTTATCGGTCAAGGCCCCCTTGAATAATTCGCAATTTATTTCTATTTATAGGGTTTTAGGTGTATTTGAGCAGCGCAAGCCGCTGCTGATGATACGCGACCCGGATCTAGTTAAGCAGATCACTATCAAGGATTTCGATCACTTTATCAATCATCGGAATATCTTTGGCGTAGACAACGATGATCCTCATGACATGGACAATCTCTTCGGTAGCTCCTTGTTCTCCATGCGCGATGCGCGCTGGAAGGACATGCGCAGCACTCTGAGTCCTGCCTTCACGGGCAGCAAAATGCGTCAAATGTTCCAGCTGATGGATATTGTGGCCAAAGAGGCAGTTGACTGCCTGAAGCGCGATGATATTCCAGAGAATGGACTTGAGCTGGACATGAAGGACTACTGCACCCGATTCACAAACGATGTCATTGCCTCCACAGCATTTGGGCTGCAGGTGAACTCATTCAAAGAACGGGAGAACAAGTTCTATTTGATGGGAAAGAAGCTGACCACCTTCACGGCGCTGATGAACCTCAAGTTTTTGCTATTCCAAACTGCGCAGAAACTGTTTAAGGTAGAGGATCCCTAATCTTAATATTGCTGAATTGGCTCACAAATTATGTTTATACTTTCCCTTGTAGACTCTGAAAATCTCACTCTTTGATAAGAAAAGCACAGACTATTTTGTGCGTCTGGTGCTGGACGCCATGAAGTACCGTCAGGAGAATAACATTATACGCCCGGATATGATCAACATGCTGATGGAGGCACGCGGCCTACTCAACTCAGACAAGCCCAAATCAGGCGCAGTTCGGGATTGGAGCGATCGTGACATCGTTGCTCAATGCTTTGTTTTCTTCTTTGCGGGCTTTGAGACATCGGCGGTACTCATGTGCTTCACGGCCCATGAGCTGTTGGAGAACGAGGATGTGCAGGAGAAGCTCTACGAAGAGGTGGCCCAGGTCGACAGTGATTTGGAGGGCGGACAGCTGACATACGAGGCTATAATGGGCATGAAGTATATGGATCAGGTGGTTTCGGAGGTTCTGCGAAAGTGGCCGGCGGCCATCGCCATTGATCGCGAGTGCAACAAGGACATCACATACGAGGTCGATGGCAAAAGTATTGAGATCAAAAAAGGAGATGCTATTTGGTTGCCCACCTGCGGCTTTCATCGTGATGCCAAGTATTTTGAGAACCCGAATAAATTTGACCCAGATCGTTTCAGCGAGGAGAACAAGGACAAAATTCAGCCATTTACGTATTATCCTTTTGGCGTAGGGCCACGCAATTGCATAGGTGAGTGACGGACTCAAAGATCTGTGATTGGTTAATATTGTTTTAAAATAATTTTTCTCTAGGCTCTCGATTCGCATTACTTGAGGCCAAAGCTGTGATCTACTATATGCTGCGCGACTTCCGCATTGTGCCAGCCAAGCAAACCTGCATTCCGCTGGTCCTTAACACATCCGGATTTCAATTGGCGCCCAAAACTGGATTTTGGGTGAAACTTATTCCGCGTAAATAAGTCGATCAAATTGTAAATTTAAATAATTGTAAAAATATTTAATTTTTATAAAGCTGTATTCATGTTGGAATTGTTTATGGAACTTAGTTTTATTATTTACTGTAAAAGGAATGAAAAGAAGGATTCTTGTAGAATTTTCAATTGAATCCGTATAAATAGGAAACAAGTATTTCAAACAAGTATACAGAAAAACTTAGCTAAGATATAAAATAGGCTGTTTTAAATAAAGTCTAGTTAGTCAGCTTAAGCTCTTAGTTATTCAAATATTTTTTTTTTATAAAAGTCGAAGGCTTCAAGTTGTTTTAAAGATACTTAATTGTTTTCACATTTACTATAACTCGTGATTTAATCTAACTGGGATAGAGGACCGTTTGGCCCAAAAATTCGCAACGCACCGACATTAATTATACAAAGTCCACGGCTGGAATTGGCCGGGAGGCATGGGAAGGCGCTTGGCGGGGCGTTACGAGAGCAGCTGGATACTTGGATGAGCTGGCCAAGTTATGGGTGTGAATGGCGGCTGGAAGAGGCAGCGCTCACGACGGAAAACCGCACTTTAACGCGAGGACATAAATCAAATTAGTTTTTCAAGCGAATGCACTCGACTAATTCGAGCGGTGAGCGCGCCAAGGTACAGCGCGCGGATGCTGTTCATTTTAGCACAAACAGAATACACAATGGTCGTGCGGTTCTGTGCCAGCCAACAACAAAAGGATACTACACCCCAAGTTTCACACACACATACTATAGAAACGCACACGCGCTCACACACACACACACACACACACTATACACAGATATCGATTAATATTTATCCCGTGACACAACGCCACAAAAACCGCGGCGGCCGTTGGTCCATTAAAGGACACATAGAAAGAGCAACCAACCCCAGGCCGAGGGCCACGCAGCGAGCATTCCTTCTGCGCCCTTGGACAATGGCAGACGACAGCCAACACGCGCGTTTAACTCGCATCCACTTCAAATATGATCAATGCTGGTTAGTTTTCCTACTAAAAACGAGCGTCTGCCTCGATATCCTTGGCGCACGACCCTTCTCTCTGTTTGGGGCATGCCACAGGCAGTAGTCAGCTGTGAGCGCTCTCTCTCACTCGCACTTACATGTATACGCGTGTGTGTGTGTGAGTGTGAGCAGCTGCCTTGCACGAGCAATGGCGTTTGTGCTCGCCCCGCCTACCGCGCGCGTTTCCTACGCGTTTTCTCATCTTTTTTGTCGTAGTCGGCTTTGCGGGCCCAGCTTAGGGCGAAAACATTTCCAAAGTCAAAACAGTTGTGAAAATCGTCGAGAAAAATTTCATTTTCGTTACAGTTGCAATCGTTGAAAATGCACTTAACCTCAAATCCAATAATCCGCTTGTAATTCAGTTCATTCAAATGCGCTTCGACTGCCGATGCCCAAAGTCCAGCGATCGCATCGCATTGTGTCTGCATGTCCTGCAGCGTTTTTCAATTTGAATACCTATGCGGGCTAGAATACATCTACCTTGTATATATGTATGTCTGTCTGGGTGTGTAAAGTGTTGACCCCGGCGGGTAATCGTTCTATTATTAATGAACATTTGCCTTCAAACAATGCCACAGTGGCATATCGACTACTGACCTTACCTGCCCAAAATAAGTTCAATGTCACTTCGAGGCATATGCAAATCAAGCGGGTCAATGGAATAAATACATTGGAATAAATATATATAAATGAATATATTTACAGTAAGAGTATATGAATATATATTATATATTATTAGTGATTTTTTTCCTATTAAATAAAACGAAAAGGAGCTCTATTTTAAACATAGATGAGTTATTAGCACGTGCTATTTGCTTCTCATTTTTCAGGAAATAAATTAAATGGTTTATATGTACATAAATGCATATTCTCAATATAATATAGCTCGTAAATATCATATAAATGAATTATTATGTTTAAATAAAGTTACTACAACATTATTAATTTAATTTATTATTTATTTTTATTTACTTGATTAGTACCATTCCTCATGATTTTCGTATTTAAACATAAATTTGTCATTACCATGAGCTAACAGAAATACATGTATTTTGTATATAATTTCATTTATTTACTCATTATTATATTATATATTATTATTATTATATATTATTATTATTATATTATTTTCTTTTAATTTAAAATAAAATAAATAGCTACAATTCATCATAAAATTATATAAATTAATTTATAAAATTATATAATTTTAATTTAAAATAAAATAAATAGCTGAAATTCATCACAAATATTATTTAAATATATAATATTATATAAATTAATTTATATAATTTTAAATTAAAATAAAATAAATAGCTAAAATTCATCACAAATATTATATAAATTAATATAAATGATATACTAAATTTTACACCAAATATATATCCATATGTATATAAATTGTATATATGATTTATATGGCATATATGTATATTTTCACTAAGAATTCGACTCATAAATATCATATAAATTAATATAAATGATGTACCAAATTATACATAAAATATATGTATTTGTGTCCATAAGTATATAAATATATGTATATGATTGTAGTAAAGTTTCTCATAGATCTACATATGTATGTATTCAGATCTCACATCTCTATCAGCTCATACAATATATTTATTTTCGGGCCAACTTTCTTCAATTTGCCGTGTGACACGCTTTAAGGCTTATAACAGATTTGGAAGAGGAAATCGTCTTAGGATTCGTAAGATTTGTGCAAGCGAGCGCAAATAATGCGTGCAAATCTGTAACAATCGTCAGCAGCGGCGGCACGCTCTCTTGGCCCAAAAGCCTACCCATTGACCGGGCCGTGCCTTGATCCGCCTAACACAAGCGGCGGCAGTGTCTCGCTGCCGTCCTGTTGTGAGACGGGCCAAAGACATAAGTGGCTCGGCTCGCCCATGGCTAGTACCAAAGTCAAATGCAAATTGAAATGTTGAAAAAATGGGACAATGCTCTGGCAGAATTCTGCAGAATGCTCACAATGCGTGCTACCGAGGATTGGCAAATGTTGCTGGCAAAAGCCTTTTCACACATATCAATGCAATGCGGCCGGACATTGTTGGCCAATTCAATGCATGCTGCTGTTTGAGGCAACCGGTAGGAGATTGCAATTGGCCCGAGCTCAATTGAGTCTGGGTCCCTGACTCCTACGGTGCAATTATGATGGAAAGGTGCTAATAATAACCGATAAATTCATGTTTACCTAACAGCCCAGGGTTCTGGTCAGCTGTCAAGTGTCTGTTTCAATGTGTGCGTGTGCTCTGTGTGTCTCTGTGTGATGAATGAATGAATGCATGAATCGTCAACTGGCATGAATGATGATGAGCTGCATCGGAGAGCTGCTGCTGCCGTTGTAGTAGGTGTCTGAGTTAGGTACACGCAATGCCGCCTCAATGCCGCAACCTTGCCAATCTCTCTGCCCACGGGCACCAAGGGCACTGCAATTGTTGAGTTCACTAAATATTGCGGGGGGAAATCGCAATAGACTTGATTGATCGCCAATATGTTCCACTCGTGCTATTTTCTATAACAATAATACGCTTCGAATTTTCACAAAAAATCAATGATTTTTTTAATAAAAAAAAGAAGTAATACGCAGTTCCAATAATGGGTTCATGCCAATTCTTTGATTGATGACTATCATACAATTGTGCTACGATAAAAACTTGATCTATATATGTGTACATAGAATTCTATATAAATTTATTTAGAGATCTATATACATCTATATATGTCCGTATATGCTTATGTCTGTATCGCAGAAGTGACACTCGATCGCATCACACTTGGCTGTATCTCTGGTCTTATGTAAAATGTTGTGAAACCGCAAAAACTACTATAAATTGACATCATAAATTAAAATTACTTCCACCCTTCTTCACATAGGCGCTCCACCAGGCCAAACCCAGTCACAGCCCTCGTTGCGGTATTGGACCGTCGGAGGGTTGGCCCTCTGGGGTTGCTGTGTGAATAAACCCAAAAGCCAGAGGCCCAAAACGTAAACGTCAAGCGGCTGAAAAAAAGGGGCGAGCACGCAGCCATCAACACGATTATTTCGCATAAAATAAATTGATTCCTGTTAAAAGTCAAGCATGTCCTTTGAAGCTGGAAATGGAACTGCACACACCAACACACACACATGCACACACACACATGCACACACTCACATACACACTGAGACAAGCCGAAAACATCGCTTGAAAAATGTCGAAATTTGTCCACAATAAGTTCTTTATTGAGTCGCCTGAGACAAAGGATTACCTCGCCGCCGCAGCCATCGCCGCCGCGGCTATAAACCACGGCCAAGCCACTCAAGCCACTCGGCACTCGACCCAGCGAAAGAGCAAACAATGAAACAATGGCCAAAAGACAGGGAAAACTGTGCCACGTCTTCGCCTTGAATTGCGCCAGGCAGCCGTATCTGTCGCTGGGCTGTCCCGACACCTTGGAATCGACACCTTCCCTTCGAGCGCTTTGTCCTGCCATCCATTCAATTCAATAGAAAGTGGCATATAAATAATGATGAGCGAGCCAATTTGGGCAGTTGCGTCAAGAGTGAAGTCGAGCTGCTCTATTGTTAGCCCGGCCCGCTTTGTATGCCCCAGACAAACGGGCAACGTGGCTCTGACAATCCTGAGCGTCATGTCCTTAAATGCGGTCGCCAAGGTGGCTGGCCGGTGCTCGTCCTGCCGCAGACGCTCGGTCGCCGCTCAAATTGAGCGTATGAAATTGATTAGCTAACGCATTTTAGTTACAATATTTGTATTTAGTTTATAAACTAATTTGAAATTCAGTTGCCCATTAACGATGTGGCGTGCGTGAAGCATGCGATGCGATGCGATGCCACCAACAGAGCTCAAGGATTCATTGAGAAATACAATTTGGCAGGGGTGTACCCATAATTTAGACATGCTGCCTGATAATATATTAGAAGAGGATACTATACTCTTATGCTAAGGGAAATTTATATACATTTAAATGAATATAAAACGCAGTATAAAATATATTGAATGTTTAGAAAGATTTTTTTAAGGCAAACTTATATTCAAATAAAATCTTATTTTATCGAATTGAATATATATTAATTAGTATCTAAATTAGTTAGTTCGTCAGTCAATTAAATAGTTGGTTAAATTTGAAAATCAACTTAATCACAGGTGCTTTTAGAATTGCTATATTAAAAACAAGCGAATAAATCTATAAAATAATATAATCTGATTTATAAATTGGATACTCGCTTAAGATAATCAGCTTTGATTTAGGACTCCTTTATAATACCAATCCACTTTTCCCATGTCCCACTATATGGAATTAAATTCACAATAGACGGCTAAGCCGCTCATTTACTTTGCTGATTGGTGAATCAAAGTCATAATTCCACTTTACTGGACTGTCAATTCAAAGCAATGCAGCCGCTGCGATTCCTTGGAATTTTCTTCAAATTTTGCACCTTCCACTTTTCGAGCTACCAGTTTTCTTTTTGGTGTTTTTTGTGTAATTGAGCCATATAACACTGTAACCTGTTACAATTGAATGGCAGGCCAGCTTCAGATCTGTGAGTGCGTTGAGGACCACGGCTCCCATTATTAATTAGCCGAATTGTCTATTTGGGAAGGTGTCAACAGGTAAATTCGTCATTGTGTGAGCAATTTTTTATACTCGCCAAGTGTCCTGCATTGTTTTTGCATGGCCTCAAGGCGGCAAGATCTGAGACGGATGCATGTAGCAATGTCACGTTGCACTTCAGAGGTGCCGGCTCGTTTGGTCGGCCGCAATGTGAAGGATAATGTGGCAAAATCCTGACAATTGATGTCCTTTGCCGGCACTTCAAATGCAGCGACTCCGCCAACTGAGACATCGAACGCAAACGTTTGTTTGTTGTTTGCACAGGCAACACAGGCGACGACACTTGACGTTGCGGCCGGGGGAGGGCGCATATAAATAATAATCAAACAAATAGATTTATCCATGTCTATATGTATGTATTTATATGTGCCTCATGGCTCATTGTTTGTCTCCAATGTAATTTTCAAGTCAGGGCTTCAAGTAAGCGGCAGCAGCACAATCGTACGTGCAGTGCTACGTTATGCTATGCTGTTAAATCAATTTCAATCAGCTTTCGCGTGTGACTTCATAAGCTGCCCATAGATGGCGCTGCAACGGCCAGAAGCGCGCACGCACACTCATCAACTTCCTGAGCGCAAGACTTTCACATTTCCTGGCACGCGTGAGTCGTGTCTGTGCGGCGCTCGGCTGTGGTGAATTTTCCGCCGAAACTTTTCCTACACTGGAAAAATAAATGTTGTTAGCTTTAATTTATTTTAAAACTTAATAAAAAAGTCTATATAAGAACAATATAATTTTAATTTTTATTTTTTTCAAATGTTTTTTTTTTTTTTTTAATTAAATTAAATAAGAAATTAATACATTTAAAATAAGGTAGTTTTATTTAATTTTTAATTATTTTTTTTTTTAATATAAATTAGTTTACTTAGCTAAAAATTTGTTTTATTCTTCATCACTTTTGTACTTACGCTCTTCTTGTAAGCACTTTTGTTATTTTTCAAAGGTTTCACTAGTTTCTTTCAGTGCAGCTGATGTACCAAACTTTGGTGCAGACTTTGCGACGTTGCTGCTGCTGTTAGTTTGCGTTTAACCGTCTCGCCAGGCGAAAGCAAAGCTTTGCTTGTTCGTGCGCGTTTCGAATCACATACACCACCCACTCATACACATACACACACAGTACACTCCGTGACATCCAAGCCACACACACACACGCACGCCAAAGTTTTCTACAGTGCGCGAGCGAAATAAATTCATATGAATGAATGGTTCTTAAATAAACGTGTTAATCCAAATGCCAGCTAGGCAATTATGAAATATAACTAATGTGATTGGATGGTGTTTGGCAGTGCGTGTGGGCCAAAAAGTCGTCTTTGCCAATATCGTCGGATGTTTTCCAATGCAACGGTTTTCTTCTGTATCTGTTTTCCGCAACACCCACACCGCAAGCTATTAATAACTAACTAAGAGTGAATTTTCACATAATCTGACTATATATTCAACTTACTGCTGAACGTTTTACACTGAGCGACAAAACTACCTTCAAAATGGTAATTACAAAATGGAATTGAAGTGATTATGAAATTTGTGTTACGCATGTGTACGTGTATGTGTGCGCTTTTCCATGGATATTTATGTGTGTGCGTGTGGAAACACCAAAAAGCCTTGTGCAAATTGTTTACAATATCAAGTCCAAGTCAATCGCATTTTTGCCACATCTTTCAATTGTTTATCGCTTTTCACGTTTCTGGTTCAACCGCAGGCCAGTAGCCTTCATCACTTTTGCTTTCGAGCCAGAGTGTCGGCGGGGTAGGCAGCCATCTCTATTGTTTTGAGACGTTAAGAAAAATATGATGTAAGCCCGAACAGCCGACGGCAACCACAATGGCAGCCAGCCTGCTGGATGCTGGATTCCTGCCACCATTTACAGACATCCACACACACACACATTCACATACCCATACACATCCACATCTGCATAAGTATTTAGTTAGCAGTGTCATTTATTTTTATAAGATGTTGCAGCAGCATCCACGCCAGCTATAACTGTAACTGTAGCTGTAACTAACAAGCTCGCACGCTCACACACATACACCGAGAGCATTTGCAACCTTAGCCAACGGCGCGTATGAGTTAACGCTTGTGGGGGCCGCGGGGGCAACGGCGACGTCAGCGGGTCGGCCAGCAAATCGATATTGTGCGGCATGACCGAGTGGCCCACAAGGCGCTGTATGTTTTGCCTGTGGAGCTGTGGAGCCGCCCAGCCACCGTAACTCGTAGTGTGGTGGCTTCGTAAGCCAGCAGCCAGCCAGACGCCGCAGCTGACGAGCCGACGGAGCTGATGGAGCCGCCAACAACGCAACGTTGTTCCTTTCGCTACTCTCACCCCGGCGGTTGAATTCGAGCTCGCCTTTTCGTTTGTGGTGAAAACTTTCATTTGCTCTCTCGCACTCTGTGCCTTTGCCATTTGCGTCAAATTTGCGCTGTTATCAGGCCAGCAGCAGCAGCAGCAGCAGTAACAATAACAACAACAACAACAACTACATCGGTTGTCAATAGCTTACAAATGGCTGTAATACTACACAAATTTATTCAATGACATTTATTGTTGTTGTCGCTTATGTAGTTTGTGTCACGATTTGCGCATTTTGTCAAGGGAGTCTGAAGGAAAGCACATGATGTCATATATACGAGTATAGCAATATACATATATAATATATATATATATATATACATATGTGTGTGTGTGTGTTGAGTGATGTCTTGAAAGTATGCAGCATTTGTTGGCAGTGCAAAGTGTCTTCCCCATGCTCCATGCTCCATTTCTAAGCAGCGTCTGCTTTTGGCTTTGTTTACTCGTCGCTTATCGGCGCGCAGATTGTGAAAGTGCGCACATACACACATATACATGTATTTATAAATACATATAGATTTATGTGCATATAGTATGTATGTGGTCGCCTAATTGCCTGGGTAAACAAATCGAAGTCTAAAGTAGCTGGCGTGACAATCAGGCCGCATACTAGCTTAGCGCAGCTGAAGTTGTGTCTTTGCCTTAATTAAAATTTATATTTATAGTTACATTTTCCACTTGGTGATCGATAAGTTGGGCTGGCATTTGAGTATTTGCCAGACAGCCGTCAGTATTCACATGCCTAACTGCTGAAACTTATTCAGAACTTGCTGTTGCGTTCGCCAACAAATGCAACAGCTGCTGGGGCTAGATATTGGATTTCATGCCAGTTAAAAACTAGCTGCGATATAAGCCATGGCTATGAGGTCTCGTATTGTATTGTATTGGACTCCGTGACAGCGAACAGAACTAGCCAATATGTTAGCCACAAAAGCCGGCTGCAGTCGTTGCACTTATTATTATTGTTTTCCATTCGCCTTTACCCCAGCATGGACCGGGCCCAGCTCTAGCGCTGGCGTAGTATGTATTAAATTTCAAGTTAGTTGACGCCCTTAACAAAACTATCTTGAGGCAGACGTTGTGGCAATAAACCTCATAAGCTGGCCACGAGCGCAAGCCAAACGGTAAACATACAGACATACTTACAGATATTCACATACAGATATTCTGTCACGGAAGCCCTTCCCTAACAAAGTGTTCAAGATTGGGTAGCTATGTTCAGTTGGTATCATTAAAAAATTATTATAATTTCTGGAGGTGGTTTTCAAATTAGTATGATATTAAAGTTCTTGGAATATATTATTATTTGTATTATTATTAACAATATATATTATTTATATATATATTATTAACAATATTTTAAACTTTTACTATCATCAAATTAGTATGATAATATAGTTCTTGGAATATATTATTATTTGTATTATAATTAATAATATATATTATTAACAATATTTTAATATTTTACTATATATAATATAACACAAATTCCAAACCATTAAGTATATGTTCAACTTGTTTTTTTTTTTTGAATAATAAAATATTAAAATTACGAAAATATTTTGAATTTAGAGGAATTTAAGATAATATAAGCCCTTTTTAATTAAATTTAGCTGGCCAATAAAATAATTTTTTTAAAATCTTTGGTAACATGCATTTTTCTTTTTTTATTCTTTTATTTTTTATGTGAATAAATCTTACATATAGAAGGATTTGAATTGCCTTTGTAGCCCATGTTTTAACATATATTTATTAACTTTTATTGTGTGCATATTAATACTAACATACTTAAATATTTCTTGCCGAGGTTTTAGTAGTTTGAAATGACTGAAACTTGTTTTTTTTCCATATTTCTTGCTGAATGAAGTCGATTCTATATTTTGATATTTTAATAGTTAATAATAATAATAATTGATAATTAATAATTTAATAATAATAACGTATTATGTTTTCCAAGTTAGTTATAATTATGCAAAACTATATATGTATTCTTATACATATATTTATATAAATAATACAATTTAGCTAAATTATGTATGTACATATGTATAACTTAATGTATTTATGTAGTTATATACTTATTTTAATGTATTTATTATAAGAAAAAATGTTTACCTAAACATAATCATTTATTACCTGCTCAATTAATTTATGATTGATGAAGGGAATGACAAGGATAGGGTAGTTTATAGTCGAGTAGTTGGCAGCATAGCGTGTTTACCTCTTGTTAACCTAGCATTAAGTACATGCATTAGTCTTCCTTCAGTACGATGTGTCTCTCTCTCTCTTTCTCACTCTCTCTCTGTATGTGCGTATGTGTGTGCGTGTGCCTACGTTAAGCCATTTCAGAGAACACCTGCAGGCGTTGAGACATCTACATATGTGGAGCACATAAGCTTCATTGTCTCTGCAGTTTTGTCTATGTCACGATTTGTGTGCTTAGTAGGGCGCCTAAGCTGCCTCCAGTACTAAGCAACAACAACAACAACAACAACAATTTGGATGAATGTACATCTAATGCATTTGTTTAACACTTTCCATTTAGATCGTACGCCATCGCTCCCGCCGCGCGCGCATGTGGAACATGGGATTATTATTCCTAATCTACTACTGTGTGAGCGTCTACTCGGCGAAAGGCGAGAACAAGGAGACTCCGGATATTCCACTTGACGTGGGCAGCCTGCCCGAGGCGGCCGATGCTGACTTTGAGACTGACAATGAGATTACCTCGCCCAATCCTCTCCAGACTAGCGAAGTGAGCAGAGCGGATGATTCCATGAAGTTGAAATACTTAATCGCATTTTGCTTGTTAACAGACGAATGCTCCATTGCCGGGTACAACCATGGCCACGCCCATACACGGCGCTGTGCCCACCTGGCGAGCAAAGCGGGAGAATTGCACGCCGCCGGCCATTGAGCAGTTTCCCCAACCGTTGATGAACAAATGGGCCCGCCAGCACGGTGGACTCATCCTACACATTATCGTGGCCATCTATACCTTCTTTGGCCTGGCCATTGTGTGCGACGAGTACTTCGTGGCCAGCCTGGACCGGCTGTGCGAGGGTGAGCTCTACGCAAATATCACCTTAAGTCCCTCATCAGTCTGAGTCGTTGCAGAGCTTAAGCTGTCACCGGATGTGGCGGGCGCCACGTTTATGGCCGCCGGCAGCTCAGCTCCAGAGCTGGCCACCGTTGTCATTGGCGTGTTCTTCGCCAAGGACGACATCGGCATCAGCGGTGTCATTGGCTCGGCGGTGTTCAACATCATGTTTGTCATTTCGGTTTGTGCCCTCTGCTCTGGCACCGTTTGCCAGCTGAACTGGTGGCCGCTCGTCCGCGATTGCTTCTTCTACTGCGTGTCCATATTGGTCATGCTGATAATAATCTTTAATGATGTCATCTCTTGCGTAAGTATATATATGATGTGGTAAAAGCGTGAAGCATGAAGAAATAGTATACTAGACGTATGAAATGTATGTAACAGTCAGATCTTGATTATATATAATTAATTACATTCGATTTGCTGTCTATATATGCAAGTCTGTCTGGAGAAAAGTAAAATTGCATTATAGTTTACCTTCTTTTAAATTTAACTTAATTTTTTATTTTCATTTATTTTTTTTAATATACATATGTTTTTTTTTTTATCAAAACAGATTATAATAGGCTGGTATTAAATTATGGGCTAGGAATATAATATATTTAATGAACGAAATATTTACATTTTCAACATTTTACAAATTAGAATCAACAAGTTCTGCAGGAATAACATGATATTCTCCCCACAGATAGATTTTCAATATACAGTCGACTCTCGTTATTTAAAACCTGCGATATTTCGGACCTCTCATTAATTCAAAGCTACCACGAGCCTCCTACAGAATCTCTTTATATTTCGAATTACATGCACTCAGAATGGTGTTTCGAATATATAGAATATCAGCAAACATCGAAGCAAACCCGTATCAAAGAAAGAATTAGTTTGAGCATACGTTCTGAATATGTAAAATATCAGCAGTTAAATGCAATCCCTTGATAATTGATAATTCGAAGGTTTATTGATTTTCTTTTAAAAATTTCGAACGATTTAATATTTTAAACATTCGATAATTCGTAATGTGTTAAGAGTCCCTCGAGTCGACTGTATATAGTTCGCCCATCGGGCACGTTAAAGCGATAACAAATCATACAATATTGTATAATATATTGAATGTATAATAATTTGATTATATATGTATATAATATATTACATATTCATATTATACAACATAATACTTAATGATCATAGGGGGAAATATTCATATACATACATATACATATACTTATATGCTCAAATCTTGATATTTTACAGTTCGAATCTGTTTTTATGCTACTGTGTTATGTGGGCTACTGCATTGCCTTGCATTTCAATACGGAACTGGAGCGCTGGGCCTTGAGCCTGAATTTGCCCTTTAAGCTGCCTAGCAAGGAGGAGCAATCGGCATTGGTCACCTATAAGAATGTGCCGGAAAGTTCCTATACACAGGGCGGGCAGCCAAAGGAGGCCGAGACAAGTGCTCAGCAGCAGCAGCCGCAGCCATCGACCCAGGGCGACTATCAGAGCTACAACGATCCCAATGCCAGCTGGGATCCGAATGCAGCTTGGGGCGACGAGAGTCAGAGTCAACCGCAGGCCATGACCATCAGTGCAAAGCCGAGTCAGCCGCCGGTGGACGATTGGGGCATGAGTCAGTTTACGCAGGGCCAAGGTCAAGAGAATCTGGCCTACAATGCCGATCAACCGGAGTCTGTGGTCACAGGCGAGGCAGCAGCCACATCGGCCAAACCTCAAGTGGCAGCCAATCCGGCCGGAGTTGACTACTACAAGTCGACGGACAAGCAACGCGAGCCACGCCCCGATCCATTGGTGCGACCCACAGAGGGCGGCCAGCCAGCCCTGATTGCCTGGTATGTGGTCTACCCCATACATTATCTGTGCAAGAAGACCATGCCGGATTGCCGACAGCCGCAGTATCGCAACTGGTATCCGTTCACGTTTCTGCTGTCGATGATTTGGATCTCGTTTTACTCGTACTTCATGGTCTGGATGATAACAGTGATTGGATCCACGCTGGCCATACCAGACACAGTGATGGGTCTGACGTTCGTAGCTGCTGGCGTTTCTGTGCCTGATGCCCTAAGCTCAATAGCCGTTATCAAAGAGGGCTACGGCGACATGGCCGTTTCGAATGCGATTGGCTCGAATGTCTTTGATATACTAGTGTGCTTAGGTCTTCCATGGTTCATACAAACGGCCATTATCAAACCCGGCTCGCACGTCAATGTTATATCCAAGGGTATGTATGATAGCGCCTATCTCTCCCCACCTCTCTCCCGTTCTCTCTCTGTGTTAGTGCTTGAAATCGTCGTGTGTTTTGTGGAATGCCTGGCATGTGCCTTTAGCTGTTTTGTAGCCAACTTTAGCTGGCGTAGCTTGTTGATGTTAATGCACTGAGTACTCTTACTTGTAGGTCTGGCCTATTCCACACTCTCGCTCTTCTCCACCGTTGTCTTCTTGATACTCTCAACGCATTTGAATGGCTGGAAGTTGGACAAGCGTCTGGGCATAATACTCATGCTCTGGTACCTATTTTTCATAACGCTGGCGTCGCTCTATGAGATGAACGTCTTTGGTTACATGAACCCACCAGAGTGTCCCAGTAAGTCGCACATCGAATAACACGATTAATTTGAATGCTCACACTCCTCTCCCTTTGCAGGCACGTACTAAACAACTGATTGCCATACGATCATCTTTCCATAAATAGCAGACGCACTTAGACTCGCATCACCAGCACCAATTACGAGTACCATATACAAAGACATACCTATATATAAATATATACATACATACATATATATACAACTGGTATATACAAAGCCATCAATCCAATAATCATAACTATAGTAAAGAGCAAGGTGTCCCAGTAAGAAAATTATATATACATACATATGTATTTCAAGTAAATATTACTCAAACGTGCGTTTTACATGGATTTTTACATGCACCAAAATGAAAAAGAAAAATAAGAATTATATCTACGATATACATATATTACAAAGATGCATATTTATTTAGGCAAACAAAAAAAGAAAAGAAAAGAAAAAAAAAAACCAAACTCCATATACAAGAATTATATGCATATAGCACTGTAGATAGGGAGAATTGTATAATATTTAGTACAAGTAAAATGCAAAAACAGCAAATGATATTTGTTGCCACGGTTTAATGGAACAACAACTAAGTAATAGAAAAGGAACAACGCAAAATTTCAAATGGAATAGCCACTCAAACAAGGATTAGAAGAAAAACAAAAAATGTTAAGAACTAGGCATCGATTTTTAAGTTATTATTACAAAATGAAAATGTTGTTTGGTTCGTAAGTTTTTTAGAATTTGTTAACTTTTGAATTTCTCTTGAAACTATTTTTTGGCTGCTGCTGCTGCTTAGCTCAAAAAACGAGTCCTAAATCTACGTTATGATAAGCCACAAAAATGTCAACGAATTTTAATGGGTTTGTTGTAGGGCGTCTGTACTTCCAGTACGATTGAATTGTAATCTCAACAGACTCGTTGCACTTTAGAAAAACGTTTAAGAAACTACTTGATGATATTCCGTCATTTTAACTTTGTATAGGGCATTTCCTAGTCGAGCATTCTCTACCAGCGCTTTTGCAATTGTTTTTATCTGTTTCTACTCGGTTTGTTATACTTTTACGCATACATCTGAAATGAAGATAGATGAATAAGACGAACTTATATTTATGTAGATATTTTTTAAAGCATTAACACAAACGAAAATAAAACATATTTTTTACGCGTAAATTTACAATATTGATGAAAAAACGTCCTGAGTTTCGACACATACGACCACAATGTTAAAAATAATAATAATAATAATAATTATAATAGAAATAATGCCAATAGTAAACACATAAAAATATAAACAAATACATGTATTTGACATTTGAAAAATATTCAACTTCATAGCAATTAATGGCGTCAATTTTTTACTGTAAATATATGAATTCTATATGTATACAAAATTTATAATTCTAATAATGTAAATTTATAGTCAATTTTTGGTGCAAATTACGTACACGCGCATATTTATACACATTTGTGGGATTTTTACCAATATAGGAAACATTCGTATTAATATTATTTGTAACTTTTCATTTTTGGTTTAGTGAAAATATATCAGCGGGAGAAAAACAAAACAAATTATAAACAAGCAACATCTAAAAATATATACAAAAATCAAAAATTGTATAATAGTTAACCAAACAACGCACTCAATAAAGAGATAATAATATATTTTAGCCTTCTGTGTACAAATTGTTAAATTTCGTACTCAACTCGAATACAAATATATAATTTAAAACTAAAAACTTAAAACTAAAAACCACCGCTCAACAGCGAACAGTGTTGAGAAAAAAAAAAAAATGATTTGCAAAAGAACAAGATTCCTATATTTTATACGATTTTAAAGATTTTATTTATGTTAAAGTATTGTTATCATTTTGTATGTTTATTTATATATTTCTAAATTCAATTTAATTTAGTTTTAAAGTATAAGAATAAAAAAAGATTTGTATTAAAATAATTATTTTGTTTCTCTTTTCCTTTTACTTATAGAAATAAATCGAAAATAATATAATTTAAAAGCTTATTTTTGTTTACATTTTTATTAGTAAATTATATACATCTTTTAAAGTTTAAAATACAAAATTTCGCTCTTGAGCGCTGTTTAGCGGTGGTGCATTTAATGGTATTCAGCCATAATACATTCAGCCGAAATACATTAATAATATTGTTAAATATTTTTATATTTCATTATAATATATTGTTTTGATTTCGAAAGTATTTTACGAAAAAACTATTACAAAACGATTTGCTAGTTACCAGACCATGTTTAGGTGCTGGTTAAATACTTAGGTTTATGCTTTGGTAGGATTATTAGCATACACATAAGCAGTGGCAGTCGTATTAATCCCTGGTAATGGTAGACATGATATGACACTGAATCAGTATGATAATTTAGCTGCAAGCAAAGTAAAAGACACACATACACAATACACATACAATTTACATATGCATACACACACATATACATATATATATATATATATATATATATTTATATAGCATAAAGATACAAAACGAACTTACATAGTGAGCAACGCACTGCTATATTAAATGGACGCGCTCAAAACATACATACATACATATATGTAGTTACATACACATAAAGAAACAAACAGTATATATATGGATATAGTATATACTACATAGAGTATATGTACTAATTAATATACATACATATGTTTACAAACATTAACGACACGATGAGCGCTAAGTTGTCTAGATTTGTTGATGGCGCCGATATGAAATACGAGTAACTAAAATCCTCAAAACAAATACTTAAAAAAATGATAAAAAACTTCCTTGAAACTATTTGCAAAGATAAAGCGAACTAAAGTTTAACCAAAACAATAAATGTACGAACAATCGCCTATTGTAAACTCCCACAAACATATGCATACATACATACCTTCTCCTATTTAAAACAAAAACAATATACATATACATATATCTACATATACATAGTTATATAAAATGCTTCTACGGGCATTTCTCAAGTACAATGTTCTTCCCCACTCAATGAAATTAGCCAGCTACAAAAATATATACATATGTATACCATACATAAAGACATGCATACATGCGTACATACTTATACTCTACCTACATATACTAAACGCATATTGGCAAACGTAAAAATTGTTAATTGTTTAATGTGTTACCAGTAAATAGAGCAATCCGAGTTTCGAATCGACGTTTGATTGATATGCAAGAAAGCCCATGCATACATAGATAATATGTCATACATCAATTAACATAACATATGCAAAGAACTAATCCTTAATTGTTGACAAGATCGTTAAGTATTAACTATTTCAATTAGAAGCTCAATTTAAATTTAAACACAACCAAACCAAAACAAAAAAATTGAAAAAAAGAAAACAAAATACAGTTGAAATATCGTTATTAAACGTATTTACCCAGATATGAAATATTTTATTAAATTTACTTTTAAATGTCTTCAAACTAAATCAAATCAAATCAATTATATATTTCGCGTTACTTTGTGCAAAAATTGTATATGAATGATGTATGCATATAAATAGTTATACATATGTAACTAAATATATTGAAGTGGAAAAGCTAAAGGACTTTAATGAAAGACAAATACACAAACACACACACACACATACACACGCTTTAAACACACACACATATATACATATATATATATATATAGATATAGTATATATGTACAGACAAACATATATACATACCTACAATAATGTACAATAATTGTCATCTATGCTATTATATACAACTATCATTTGTGTTAACTATGACTATAATTGTTTGCAAACACTTAAGAGATTCTTCAAACATATGCATAAATATTTATTTATTGATATGACAAATATGTATTTAATAATGACAAACAAATAATTACATTTATTTGTGAATGAAGTAACATAATAACTATTGCTAATATACACAACTGTTGATGTTATGTTTAGTCTATTAATGGATTTCAAAAATAAATGAATATACACACGCAAGTCCCTAAATGAGTTTCCAGTTGTCAGGTCAGTAATTCATACAAAATTGAGCAAAATAAATAAAAGAATTAATTATTAATAACAAGTAAAAAAATTTACGGTCGTTTGGAGCCGGAGGATTAATTTACGGCTCCCAAAAAAGGTAAATATAAATATTAATTATTTTTCATATATATTATTTCCCAAGGCAATTTATATGTTTATCTATAGAGAATATAACGGTGATTCCGATTTTTCTTTTCTTTTCTTTACGATTCCAAATTTATTTTCTTTGTTAAAAAATAAATATAACCTTTTCCAATTTGGCATGCCCCATGATCAAATATAGTATCTTTTTCAAACAATTATATATTTCAGATTGAAAGCCTTTAAGGACAATTGGATGGTTGTTGTACAAAACCCAATTTACTCATTTTAATTTGTAAAACACAATACGTATTTACTCAAGATATAACAATAAATATTATTATAGCCACATCTATAAGTATACATAAATAGTGGCAAACAAGTTAGGATTCATATACCGTCAATAATATATATTGTATTCAGTTACAGTTGTATATCTACTCCCACATAAATACATTAATGAAGGTGATGTGTAAGTCAACTTGCATTCAACATTTCAGTAGGGGCACAACAGGCTACCTTAAAAGCTTTCGCAGCGTACAAGCCCAACTGTTAATAAGCTGCGCAGACCAGGAAAGCTCTCTCTCGCTCTCGCTGTGACGCCAGCGTCGACGGCGCGTCGCGACGTTCACGCAATGGAAAGGTAAACAAACAGCAGAAGAAAGAATTGACGTCGAGAAAGTGATGTCAGCAATGCTGTTGTTGAATACGCTACTTTATCTCCATAAATTTACATAGTGTATTGCTTGAATGTATTTGTCAAAATTCAGTGTGCCTTGCTTTAATATCGGAATATAGATTAGAGTAATAAGTATAGCTCTAAAACTTTATTCTGTAATTTGTATCTTCGTATCCATTTTCCATTCCCATTGAATTTTTTCTTATTTATCTCCTCATTTAAATGGAGGAATATGATAGATTAATATGTATTAGACTGTTCTAAAATGCGTTTAATTAATAATGCCTACGCGCTAACAAGTAGGCTTAAAATTTTTTTTGTTTTTTTTTTTTTTTTTAGTTTTTTACAGTTTTTAAATTTATTTATTTTATTGTCGGTCAGTATTTTAGCGAATACCTTGGCACAGCTATTGGGCTCAACCGGAGGGTATAGAAAGCTTTCTGGAGCTGCAGCTTATTGAAGGCAGCTTTCTGCGGCAGCCACAACGGTGCTGAAGTTTGCGCTCTGCGTTTCAGTCGTAAGTTCACTGCCAAAGTGCTAGGAAGTGGCTCGTCTGGATGCGTATGGCTGTGTGTGTGTGTGTGTGTTAGGCGCTCGTGTGTAAAAGTTGAAGAACCGCAATCTCCTAGCGCTCACGTACTCTCTCGTTAACATTCAATCGGCGTATGTGTAAGTGTTGTTGTCGCAACCTGTTCTCCAGCTGGTTGGGTGGAGAAAAGAATTTGTTAATACTGAACTCAGCTGTGTGCCCGGCACCAAGCGATAAGAATTTATGGATTTTTCAATATTGCACATATTTATGATGGCCTATAGTAATTATGTAACGCAGTTAATATTTTGATTTGCATTTACTGCATAATTGCTGACGAGTAATTCTAGTAGTATACTATAAATATGTACATATATACATATACCTACACATGTACACACATATTGATATGACACATACATACATTTAGTTGACGCTTGTTTGCGGGAGATTAGCAATGGGTCAGCCGAACTGTTGATAAGCGTATAGCCGTTGTGTTTGTTTAATTTCTTAGCGTGCTGGATGGATGGAGATAAGTGTATTAATTATGTTATCAGTTCTTTTGAAATGTGGCGAATGTATTTAATGTGATTTGAATATCAATTGCCTGTCTCCGCAGCATTGTGCATACATATCTTAACAACAATTCAATAAGCATAAGGCAGTTCCAGTTAGCCGAACACAATGTCGAATTTACCGCGTGTGGACATTGACCAGCCGAAATTCGATCAGAGCACTTATTTCGGGCGTGCCAAGCATTTCTTTTTGGTCACAAATCCTTTGAACATATTCGCCTCCAATGAGGAGCTGGAGAGGGCCCGAGATATCGTCACCAAGTACCGTGCCAACCAGCCATTGCCTGATGTCAAGTCTATAGACGAAGTGTGGAGGGCCAAGTATCTGTACGACTCGGCTCACCACCCAGAGACAGGCGAGAAACAGATAATCATAGGCCGTATGTCCGCTCAGATGCCAATGAACACATTCATCACTGCCGGTAAGTAACCGCCACCCTCTCGGCCCACTGCCCACACCACCACCCTCGTTCCGCTCTGTCCATCATATTGGCTATATTTCGCTTTTGTTTGAGACCTTCAACTATTCGTTTCCGCGCTTTGATTAATAAATAACTGTTAATGTTGTTGTTGTTTTCATTTAGGGATGATGACCTTCTACAAAACCACGCGGGCGGTTGTCTTCTGGCAGTGGTTCAATCAAACGTTCAACGCCATTGTCAACTACACAAACCGTTCGGGCTCCTCACCAATTAGTCAATCGTAGGTTTCTCTAGAGAAGATTGCTTATTTTTTTCGGTGCCCAATTTGTATTATCGTTATGCACACAGACAACTAGTTACCTCCTACTGCCTGGCAACGGGCGGCGCCCTAGCCACAGCGCTCTCCCTCAACCGTGCGGTGAAGAACATGCGTCCAATCTTTGGGCGCCTGGTGCCTCTCGTGGCGGTAGCAGCCGCTAATTGCATAAATATTCCTTGCATGCGCATGCAGTAAGTAAACTATCGAAACATAATGGAAGTATAATATTTTGTATATCATCATAAAAACATTTTACTTTCCCCAGGGAGTTACGCAATGGAATTGCACTTTTGGATGCAAAGAATAAGGAGGTGGGTATTTCAAAGAAGGCCGCCTTTGTGGGCATTTCAGCCGTTGTGATCAGTAGAATTTCCATGGCTATCCCTGGAATGAGTAAGTTCTGACTTGCCCAACTTTTATATAAATACCTGTCTAAGCAATGATTGTTTGCCAGCTTTGACACCTCTGCTGATGAATAAGCTGGAGAAGAATGGCTTTCTGAAGAAATACCCCAGATCCAATGCTCCCATTCAAACGCTCTTCTGCGGCTTTATTCTGATATTTGCCACGCCCTTGGGTTGCGCGTTCTTCAGCCAGCGGGCTGCTATCAAAGTGAACGATTTGGAACCAGAAGTGCGCGACCACATAAAAAAGGAGCGTCCCGACTTGGATACGGTTTGGTATAACAAGGGCTTGTAAGTCAGAGTAAATTAAAGTAAAAAAGAAGAGAAAATTAATTAATGTAAAAATTGAACAATTGACAAGATTTAGGCAATGTTATCTGTGGGCAATAAATATATGTAAGTTTAAAATAGTTATCCACTTAAATTGCATTTACATTTTTGTTAAGATCTTAAAAGGCAATTATTAATTTGCGAACCTCAAATATTGTGTTGATTATTTGACTTAAAGTTACATTCTACTAATTTGTATCAATTTAAACGAATGATAATGTGTCTCGATATTTATAAATCACAAATTTACCATATATAAAATATTGTTAATTCCAATTTTAGTATATGTTCTGCCGAAGCAAGAACTTATATTGTTAATTAAATGTGTGAATATAAAAAGAATGGTCTTTTCAATGACCTCGCATTTTTCAAACAATTTAAGTAATTTCAGTGGCGGTAGTCATTGAATGGTGATATAGCAATCAGCCTTCTAGCAGTTTTGAAGCGCTAGGTCTAAAAATACTAAGCGGCGTTGAAATACTACAAATACCATTAAAATAAATTTGGTTCCATTGCAAGTGAATCAAGCAAACTAGTCGGCTTTCCCTTTACTAATATATTTTATTTACAATTTTAAATGTGAAATGATAGTTGTCTTGAATTTTGAATTATGTTTGCGGATGGTATTTTCAGTTTTTAAAAGTGCCATATATCGATAAGTATTTCCAGCCAACCGTGCCTATCGATGTATTGGTATTCCTAAGCACTAAAAAATACCAAACAGTGAATGGAGCGCATTTTTTAATGCAGTCAGCCGATGTTTTAAATTAATGCACCAATTACATTACAATGGATAACGCAGCGACTGTAAATAAAAGGCGCTCCCTGACACTCAGCAGCAGATTACTACAAAAGCGACACAGTGGTAAGTGTAAAATGGTTATTTGTGTAGTAAGAACTGTGTGAATCTCTCAACAACGCGCTTTCAGCTTCTCCACAGAGTCGCGTTTGCGCCAGCGCAACTCAGGAAGGTGCAAACGATGGAGGTTCTCCTTGTTCACCGAATGTTAGTATTTCCGAAAATGTGGAGAGTACTCCGCCCCACAAAAGAATGCAGATGCTAGACGACAGTCTAGATTTCTCGCAGTACAACAGCCTCTCGCCTAGCTGCTTGTTCTCACAGACTCTGGTCACCGGCAGCCCGGAAGTTAGTTGGCGCTGGCAGTGCGATAACAATGGGCGTCGAGATAAAGCGAACACCACTTCGGACAGTGGCTTCGATTCGGAAGAGTTTGGTACAGATGCGTACAAGCGGAGGGAAAGGCGGAAACAGGTTCGTGCAGATGCCGCCCATGAGCATAGACGCAAACAGCTCGACAACAGAGAGTGGCGGGCACAGCAAATACGTGATCACGAGCTGCTCAGGGAACGTTGCGACAAACTGCACAGGCAGCTGGATCAGCAAATAGCTGCGTCGGAACCAGTAGAAACTGTTGGAGCACATGCTACAAAATCAGATGCAACTGAAGCAGTTGCGGATCCGGCATTGGCTGATTTCCTCAATGACTCGGACACTGATTGTTTTTTGTTAGAGGCCTCACAGCAACTGGAGTCAAAGCTGCAGAAACCAGAGCAAACGCCTGCTGCGACCACGCCCAAAAGCAACACCAAGAAAAAAAATGAGAAACAGTGTTCCTTCTACATGAAGTTCCTGGAGGATGAGAGCGAAACTGAAGATTGGTTTGTCGCCCTCGACGAGGCCATGCTGGAGGCAACGCAGCCCAAGAAGCAGCGCACTTCATTGCAGCGTTATAAGTCGATGCCCAGTAAGGCAGCCGATAATGTGGTTTCCACAAACGCAATGAGCTCCACCTCCTCGAGCGACACACCCCGTATTAAGCGCCATGCCAGCAGCCATGTCCTCTCCCCGGCCACCTCGAATGGTAAATGCTGCAGCTTATTCATAACAAATGTAAACCATTTCTAATGTGTCTGTTTGTATTTTTAGCAAGGAGCAATCTTTTTGGCAGACGGCAGTAAAGCCTTAGACGCCCACGATAAACTGTTCCAACGGCTTCCCATTTTCGAATACCAAATGTGATGCGCAAAAGTTTCGCCCGCCTTCCTATTTCTCAGATATTGTTGTCATTGAACATGTATACGTTAACTTAATCCATATAGTCTTAAGATACTTACGTAATTAGAATTGCAGCTTAATTAAAACACAATTTTATTTCAAAGTACCTCTCAATGGCTATCGCACTAATTGCATCGTTTACAGCGCGCTGACAGGATGCAGACCGTATGCTTGCGATTAGAGATTTGTGCAGCTGGTTCAATGGGTAAAGGTCAATTGCAATCGATGGTACCCTTTACCGGATTAGTTTCCAGTTCCTCAATGGTAGTGTGAAAGCAGCTTACAATTTATGACCAATTTTATTCGATTTAAGTATGTACGAAATATAGTGGACACGATTTGAGCTCATTTTAAATAAATTTAAGTTTGATTTAGGTTTTTTATAAAGCTTTAGATAACAAATTATGAATATCCAAATATAAATCATTTTCTATTATTACACTGAGGAGTTTATTATTATGTTTACATGTACAACAAAATTCCTTCCCAAAAAGTATAAAATATGGTATCAATTACTACTTTATCACCAATGCATTAATCATATAAATGCTAAAAATGTCGCAATGCAAATCTTTTACTTTATGATACCACAATAACGTGTTCATTTCATCATTGATATTGGTGACTATTTAAAAGTTTTAAATACTTTCACATGTGCTGTTATTAAATGTGACTTACCTGGAAATTCATGTTAATTACTGGCCTTTGAGGGCCATTGTAAGCTGCAGTTTAAGCGGACTGAAGCTGAGGGCTTCTCATTTGAGCATCTTAATGCATGTGGCCATACGCCACTAGATTGGGGCGAAGGTCAAAGTTGAAGCTCTTTTCAGCTATTATTCGCGTAAGAAGCAATTCACAAACACAACCACAAACACCATCACGCGTAAGTAGACATACACAAGCACACGTACACATACGCATACATGTATATGAGTGCGTATGTACTGACTTTTGTAAAATGCAATGAATCTAGAACATAAAGTATGCTGCCATATGTTGGCAATGCGCAGCATAAGCCAATCGCAGCCGAGCAACAAGCCGAGCAATCGAAGAAAACAAAACAGAATAGGCAACAATAGTCATCTTGGAGCGAGAGGAATGTGGTATTCAGGGGGGATGCAAAATATGGTAGGAGGCATTAGCAGCGGGTCAACCAAATTGGTGACGTCTACAAAGCGCAAACCGAGCTGCTAAAGTAACAACAAAATTGAAGTGAACGCGGAGAGCTTGAGCCCAAACTGAAGGAGCAGCTGGGCGTGCGAGCAGCATAGCACTAGTGACAAATGAAATGCAATGTGTGGGCGCTAGCTGTCAAGGGGTGTGAGCGAGAGCTTGTCGCAGAGCTTTCTTTGAGCTTTCCGCGAAATGCTTTCGTACGGTGCGTAGCCTTACGTATATTCATAATGGCGTCCACAGCCGAGGCTGGCAAACAGTTTTCTGCGCGCAACGCCAAAGCAAAGTTCGTGGCAGCGCATAACTAACAGCAGCAACTCAGCGCAGACAACAAATTATATAGAGAACAAGAATAATAAGGGACAAAATATTAACTCAACGACGTGGAGCTAATTGCCCAAGCAGTTACGCAGAGCATAAGTTTCAAGTGCTGCCGGCTCTTGAACGATTTGTCAATAACAAAGAACGTGCGAATTTTAATTGTGTGTTTAGTGAAGCGCGGTCTTTATTTTTGCTATTCACCTCCCGAAAACTCCCGCTTCTGCCTAAGCCAGTCAAAATCGTGTGCACGAATTTGTGGCGCCAGCGTTGCCCCATCGTCGCAGTTATTAACTGAGCCACAAATAGAATCCAAAGGAAAAAAGCCGAAAAAAAACTAGGAGCACGAGCAACGACTGCGAGGCGAAACGCGTGAAATGTTTATTGTGGCAGCTGCATGGAGCTTTGCTGCTTCATGGCGACTGCTATGCATCGGGATGCTGGCACTGGCACTGCCGTTGGCTATCGCCGAATCGGAGTCTGCTGCCCGTGGCCACGGCGGTCAACCCAATCATGCCGTCTTCACCAGCTCATTTCTGGTGCGCTTCCGTCGGGGCGTTGACAATGATTTTGCCCACAAGTTGGCCGACAAGTATGGCTTCGAGAATCTGGGACCGGTGAGTAATCAGTGGCCATACAAAAGTACAGGGAATACCGTCTACAGGCACCCACACATATATCAAATAAGTGTCGAAAATAGTAAATATATGTATGTTAATGGAATATACCAAAATATTGATAACGAAAGTGAGTTCTGTTCACACTCTGTTTGTTCTTTGACAGGCTGATCAGAGTTCATTATAGGCAAAGGTTTGACCGAAAGAAGAAAAACTGTATACCATTCAGTATTCATCTATTTCCGTCAATCCAAGTGGATGGGATCTATGCCCACGGGAGCTGTTCGCTCGCCGAGCTTTCACTGTACTCTTTACTTATTACAAAAGCCAGTCAAGTCAGTTGGTCGTTTGCTGTGAAAAATCAATTATTTTATGTTCCGACGGCGTCGGCATGTTTTGCAGCCCAAAAGAGACAACCAGCAGCTAAAACAAGCTGCAATCGTCAAGGGCTGTTAATTATTGCGACTGCTTAAGTGGGTGTTCATGTGAGTGTGTTTGCGTGTGTGTGCGTGTGTGTGTGTGCGGGTGAGTGTGGGGCGCGTGCTTGGTATACAAAGCATTATAAAGTCAGCTACAACTGTGGCGGCCATCATCCGGCTGGCGCGCAAAAAAAATTCCATTGCATACTGTCCGGGCGTTATATTTCAAGCATTTTGTGTTGCATGTGGCAAACGGGCACAAGGCCAGCAACTATGGGCAACAACTTTTCTTTAGAAGTATAACAAACCTAACATGCTGACATGTCGAACATAGCATTCACTAACAACAACAGCAGCAACAACAACAACTACAAAAGCCATCAGCTTGAGCTGGCCAACATGTGTACGCCCTGTGTGACGCGAATTGGGTAATATTTCGCCAGTCGTCTGGGATTGACAGCTATTATGACTCTGTATGTAGTAGTTCTACTTGTTGCTTAACCTTCTGCGCTCTTATCAGTGGCATCAATTGTTCGTTGCTCAAGCAGCAGCTATTCTATGTCCGAAACGGGTGCAATTATGTGGCAGGACTAGGTGCTGTAATTAGGTAGCTAACGCTTAATAACACGATGTCAGGGTCAACAATTGCGTCAATAAAGAAATGCGAAGCAGGCGCCAAATCCAATTAGTTTATACGCTCTACATTATTTATGTAATGCTGATTTATGGGTAAATTGATATGCTGGCGCTTAGCCACTTCGCGTGGCCGTTATTGTGCCCAGTTAGTTACCTGAGACACGCCCTCGCCTGAGCCTTGGCTGTGCGAGTGCTAGTTACGCTTACACTTATTACGCCGCAGACATAGCTGCAGCCCGGCGATATATGAGGACTGCCGCCATGACAACGTTAATATATTGCACAATGCAATCGGGGGGAGCACATTAATGCACTGCATCCACGCACAGACTCCTCTCCTGATATGCGTCAATTTTCAACTATTTTCAGTTAACAACCATATTGCGTAGCACTAGCGTACATCATTATAGTATTCCAAGAAAATTTCATATTAAAATGGAATTAGCGTAGCCCCTACGTAAATAGTTCATCACATTTGCAATGATGTTCCTCATAATATCATTTGCCAGTTCTCTAAAATTTCGCCTATGGACAGTAGTACACAAATAGTCTTTCATTGCATTTGTATTCTAGGAAAACCTAATAGACCCAAGTGAACTTGAGCAAAGCAGCTTGTTTTTCTACATGCCCTGATTTTACATTGACATTTTAAGCAATGATTTATTTATTTACCCTCAATGGGCCAAATTCATCTTAGGGCAGGTTGAACATAAGTCGAGTTTTAAATGATTTTAAACTATCCCAGCGGGAATGGGAATTCTTGAAAAAAATCTACCATATTTGATAATTCTTTTTATTTAATTTTATTTTAAAGATTAATTTTAAAGTAGAGCTGGTTTATCTAATAAAAAAAAAGTTTTAAATAGTTTGCTTACATATATCTGAATTATCATTTTTTTTTAAATTAAATTATTGGTATTCTTTTCATTTTTTGATGTTCTTAAATTCTTCGAGATGGTGTTTCGGCGCGCTTCTTATTTCCTGCTTAATATATTTTTATACATTTAATTAATTTCGCTAGAAGCTTACATTCGGTTGGTATTCTTAGCAATAGGCAATTTCGTTGTTCATTGGATAAGGCGCTTATAATATTCTTAGTATTAATAATTAAGAATGTATAAATGCTAGATTAGACATTTCTGAAAATGTATTTTTAGTGTTAAATGAAAAGCTATAAATATGGCAAAATACGTAACAGCACGTTGCTATTATCGTTATCCCTGTGCAGGACAATATTAAATTTGTAACCAAAGTACTCTGATAACAAAAGGTTTTCTTATTGTGCTCTTCGTCTGGACGACCTTTTGGATGGGCTTAAATGTACAAGGAAATTTAATTGGAAATTTGTGTCGACTGGACTTCCGCTTCGTATACTCATACAATTCGTTCCCAATGCTTTCAGTAGATAAACAGCAAAATTCTTTCACTGTTTTTTTTTTATTTTTTGTTTGCTGCGGCGAAGGTAATAAAATTGCGGCACATGTTGCCGAAAAAATCTGTTGCTCTTACGTCAAACGCTAGCTGCCAACCGAAATCACACAATCTGTACGACAAAGCAGCAATATACATATATAAAAGTATATATATATATATATATGTGTATATACAGAAATATATATACACGTATAAAAAGGCAACCTTTCAGCGTGGGATAGCGAGTAGGCACAGGCACACGCCTCTACTCAGTCGGCTCGCTCAAATCGATATTGCGTATACGCAGCATGTGAAGTGGCGCTGGATTTTATCTGCCATATAAGCGCAGACTTCGTTTAGGCTTTATTGCTATCGATGTAAGAGTTGCTATCAGCAATGGGCTATTAGTTTTCACTATCAGCTATCAGCTATTAGATACACGCTTACATATGTAAATTTCGATCTATTATATAACTGAAAATTGAGCTTGCATTGCGTCTACAATTTAAATATTTTGATTTTAATTAGTCAATTTCGTGCTTTGGTAAACACATATGTCCCGGAATGAGAAAGGAATCTCGGCAGGGAGCAGCCATCGCCCACGCAGCCTGGCTCAACGCAATCAACGTAGTCGACCTTTAATTTTATGCTAGGCTGGATATTTTTGTGCCGTCTTTCGTCTGTCCTCTTTAATGACCAGAAAATTCACAAAGTGCTGCATGGCTAATGCCTTAAAGCGATTTTATTTCTTTTTCACTTTTATTATTATTATTAATTTTTTTTTTTTTTGCCTTTGTGGTGTTTAAAAGTTTTACTTAATACCTACTTTGTAGCTGCGCTGAGCCTTTGGGCATACACATTCAGCTGGTATGTGTAATAACTTATAAAGCCAACAAACCCACCTGTCGCCACTCCCATGTAAGCTGTGAGGTGCGCGGCAGCAGGCGGTGTGTCGCAAATCCTCGCACAAAGCGTTAAGCTAAGATCTCTGTTTGCCAAACCTAAGCCTTGACAACAGAAGCAACAGGCGGACAGAGGGGGCCAGAGGAGGAACGGGGAGTAACAATAACAACTTGCAGAACATATTTTGTTATATTTTGTTATTGTTTGTTGGTCAAAACATACAATGGAATCATATGCTATGGGAATGGTATATGTATGTGCGATTCATTAATTATAGCCTGAAACTATTGAATCTCAGCTGCATAAATAATATGATATTGTATGGAAACAATGAAATATGTGCATGCAGCATAACAAAATAAATTGTAATGGAATATATTATTTATTTTTTCATCTCACTGACTCGCTGACTGCTAAAGGAGAATAGAAGCAATATAAAATAGAGATGACAAAGGGGTATCATGTTATGCTTCTCTGCTCTTGTGAATATCAATGCATTCAGCTTCTTCAGCAGCTCGAATTCCTTAAGTTATATTTTCAATTTAGCTACTGAGACGTATGCAAATGATCTGTCGTAGAATTTAATGCTCTAAATTCCACCTTAATTTATGCTTAAATTGAGCCCTAATTACACAGTTCATTTCAATTTAGTAAAGTTTCAACCTTAATGAGAGCAACCGCAGAGTTTGTTCGCGCAACTTTTTCCAACATAAAAAGTTGGCGGAATGTCAGAGCTAATTAAATATGCATAGCTGCACAATGCACTCCATTTTTTATGCTTATAAAATATGCAGCACTCATTAGTTGTTTGCTCAGCATAATCTAGCTGACAAAACGCACACATTTTATGGTTATTGAAGTAGAAAGGCAGCCATGGTTAACAAGGCGCTGCCGTACGACAGAGGCAAATTTATGTAATTTATTTGGGCATTTTAAAGGCATTCATCAGTTTCAGCTTGAGGTTCAATTTGTCGTCTGTTTTTGTTCCATTTGGTATGCAAAATGAGAAATGAGTTAACAAATTCTGCGGTCTCGCTGTCTGTTCGCTAGGCTCCGCAAATTAACGGCAGAGGCATTTGCTGGCAATTTGTAACCAAAGGCAAACATATGTTGGCAAATACAAGACAAACAAAGGACTTGCACGTCGGGCAAACAGAGACGAAAGTCGTACATGCCAGGAAAAGGTTATGCTCCTACTATTAAATTGTAAAGCCCTCAGGGACAAAAAAATAACTCCACATGCATAGCCCAAGCACACACACACACACACAAGCACACGCCTCCAAGTGTATATGTGTGTGGTTTGAGAAGAACATCACGTATACGCCGCGCTCACCGCCAAGTCAATATATACATATATGTTTATTTTTAGAAACGCAGACCAGCTTCAGTTTTGTCTGAGCACGCGCTATGCTCGATGCTTCATATAAATTGGACTCGAACCAATCGAATACATCGTAGCTGTGGAAATGATATCAATATTGAAATTTTTCTAATAAAATAATAGTTTGCGGTTATATTACAATAGCTCTTCCGTATATATATATATTTTGGCAACTAAATTTCAATCATTAGAGTGGCACTTACCTGAGCACGCTACACACACACACACACACGCACACTAGGAGC